CCCTAGATGAGTGGGCTGACCGAGTGCTCACTCTAGGTTATAGAGCTTTTAAGAAGCTGCCAGAGGAGTTTGTCACTGTCCAAACAGTGAACAGATTCTGTCAGGGTATGGTTGACAAAGAGGCAGGTCACCATGTTTGCATGCAGCAACCTGAGTCTGTGCATGCAGCCATACAAATGGTACGCCAGTACCAGCAGGTGTATGCGGCCATGTATGGTGACCGGAAGAAGCCGGAAAAGGTTTTTGCTGTTTGCTTCCCAGCCATCACGGGAACAGCAGGCAGAGCCTATGTCAACCGATGACTTAAGCAAAGCCTTAAATGACCTGGAGCAAAGACTGACAAAAACCTTTTTGTCAGAATTGTCCCAACCCACAGGTCAACCGGGATGCTACAATTGTGGCGAAATAGGGCATTTTAAAAAAGAAATTGCCCCTAAGCTTAACGACAACCATAAGTCGTTTAAACTAGAATGGGACGGTGAAAAAGTAGGTCGTTTCCCGTCCCTGTCTGCAGACAAGACCTGCAAAATTAAAAAATCCCGGTTGGCTGCCAATTTCAGCCAAGTAAAGCACGGGGGGAGTCGAACCAGACCCTGTTGTTGTTTGTCAGGTCAATTCCTCTTCCCAGTTTACCATGGGGGTCCAAGTAGGGGATGTCCAAGTAACAGCAGTGGTAGATACTGCTGCCCAGGTGACCATCATTTTCTGATAAGGTTTACAATTCCCTGAAGCACAAGCCCCCCAAGATAAGGGATGTAAAGCTGCAAACGGCTGGCAGGGAATTGTCTATGGCAGCCTTTGTAGCCGGTCCGGTTAAGTTGAAGGTTGGTCACCAGTGGTACCAGGTCAATATGTTTGTTTGCCCCCATTGAGCAAACAAATGCTGTTGGGCTTTGATTTGCTTCGTGACCCTTTGGCAAATCTGTGCTAGACATGAAGCAAGGGGCAGAGCTTTACTTTGATGGTATGCTCGCATCTCCTAGATGTCCATTCATCAGATAGTCCCTTGGTATCCAAGGTCACGGGTGTCTAAGAGACAGGTTATCCCTCCACACTCTGTGGTGAGAGTCCAATGCAAGTTACATCTCCCCTGCATAGCTATATCGTGGAACCAGTGAACCAGAAGAAATTTTTGGTTCCCCGTGTGTTACATTGAAGGCACTAACACCCCCTTGTGTTGTGTCTTGTTTAATTTCCATCAAGATTAGTCTACCGCCTTTGTCAGGAGGGGGAACAGAGATAGGGAGGGCATTGCCAATCAGTGAAGTTGTCAGGAATGAGTGTGTGATGTTGAAACCATCTTTTGCCCAGCAAAGTGTTTGAAACATCAGGTGCGGTTGGTCCAATACCACCACACCTGCAGGAGGTCTATGAACCTTTTGTGGCAGCCTTGATGAAGGTCAACGATTCATTTAGCGCTAATTGCTGATATTTTGAGTTCCAAGATGTTCTTCATCAATGGTGAACTTTGACCCTTGGTGACTTCACTGATAAGGTAAACGTGATTATAGATACCAAGGAGGCAAAGCTTGTGAAGCAAGGTTATGAGGCGAAAGCCAACATGCTTTGCAGGGGAAGAAGAGGCCCAGCCTCAGGGAATGCCGAAGGCTGGGGGTGTACAAGATGCCACATCCAAATGGCATCTGCTCCAGTTTTGAATAAGAAAACATGACGGCTCTGTGCGTTATTGCATAGACTATAGGATGTGTTGAATTAAAAGGTTACAGTCAAAGACGTGTATCCTTTGCCTTTAGTCGATGGATTGCCATGGACACATTTGCTGGCAGTGTTTGGTTTTCAAAAATTGGATGCCAACTTCCGCATTCTTTTTTTTCCAGTTGAACCTCAGAGAAGGCTTTGGTTTGTGTGGTGCCCCCAGCCACATTTGCCAGAGCAAATGGACTTAGTCCTGAGAGGTTTTGACATGGAAGACAGTCCTGGCATTTCTCGATGATATCATTCGTGCTTGGACGCTCAATTTTGAGGACCATCTCTCAAAACTTGGCGGGAGGCTCTTTTTCGAGATTTCGGAGGCAATAAGCTAAAGCTTAAGCCGAAGGAATGGTATCTTCTTCCAACAAGAAGTAGAGTTTTTAGGCCGTTATAGTCGGCAAAGACAGCAATTGCTATGACAGAACATGACATAGCAAGTGGTGAAGGATTGGCCTCTTTCCAAACAGTGCCAAGCAGGTAGAGAGGTTTTATGGGGTTTTTGTTAACTTATCATTTAGTAGAGTGGTTTTGTTAAGGACTTCTCTAGGTTTAGCAAGCCCATTTGTAACGCCGTCACAGGGGCAAAGCCAACTTTGTTCTGGGGCGAAGATAACAAGCAAGTCATTCAGGACTTTTTGAAGTGCTTGTTGACGTCAACCTCCGGTGGTTAGCGTTGCCAAAATTCAACATGCGAATTTAAATGCTTGGATTATCGGTCGCTTCCCAATGATTTCGATTGGAGCAGAGCTCTTTGCAGGTTGCAAAGAAAGGGCAAGAGGGAAGGTTGTTGTGCATTTGGTTAGCTGTGCTCTTACCAAGGAGCAACAGGGTTATTGTATGACCAGGAAAGAGCTGCTAGCAGTAGTTCGGTTCACCAAACAGTTCCGACACTACTTGCTAGGAAGACCATTTGTGGTCAGGACTGACATTCAAGTCTGAGGTGGTTGATGAATTTCAGGGAGCCACAAGGGCAACTGGGGAGATGGCTGGAAGAGCTGTCCCAGTTTAACATGGTGTTGAGACATCGTGTGAGTCGCGAGCATTCCAATGCTGACGCAATGTCAAAAATACCACTGCAAAGTGGGACATGCCGAGGTGGAATTGCTGGTGCGCGGCTGGATCAGTTGCCTTGTGGTGGATGTGAAGATTGTAAAAAGGCCCATACCAATTGGGTCAAGTTCTTCACAGATGTAGATGAGGTGGTACCGTTGGTAACCAAACCAGTGGAGTCTTCGGATTCCGGTTTAGGTGACCAGCAGGGTACCAGGGTTTCTGTCATCTACGGGATTGATTTTCCTGAAAGCCAATCAGATGCAGATGGCCAGCCGGTCCTTGCCAATGAGGTCGGTGAGCATGGTCAACAGTCCCTCTCTGAAGGCCAAATCTTCAGTGGAGGGGAAGAGAAGGTAAGTATAGGTTGCGTTAGAGACCGAACATCTGATATCAGGGCCATTCCTGATAATGTAGATGTTCCGTTGCTGGCACAGATTTTAGAGGATATTCCCTGTGGCCAGCATGGATCTCGGTGCCCAGTGCCGGGATGTTATGAGGATCTTACCCAGAGACATGCTATGGAGGCCCACCTCCCTGGCATATTCCAAATGTGTTTGACAGGTGAAAGCATTACGAACAGAAGAATTGGTGCTTTGAAGCTGGTGATCAGGTGGTTATTGGGGTCTAATAGCACTTTGTTTGACCTCGTAACGTACCTGGAGTGTGCTGGTGTTCCGGTTTCTCAGGAAACTTGCACCAGTTATCACAGGAAAGCAGCGAAGGAGTTCTGTGAGGTTCTTAGGGTACCCTTGCCCAAAGATCTCACCCCAAAGGTAAAAGGTAATGCTGTGACAGTTTTGTTGCAGTGGCGCTGTCTACTGTCATTGATATCCATGCTGGAAAGACACCAGGAAGACAATCTGAAAGCCATGTTCAGCTTGTCAGCTGAGGAGTACCAACTCCTTAGCTTTCCTAAAGTGTCTGACAGCCATTGAGTGTCTGGGTTTGAGGCTTGGCTGAAATCGGTACGGTTCAGTCAAGTAGGTCATGTTGTCCAGCCCTCTGGCATCATGGTCAAGTACCAGTACCGGTATTAACCGGGAAGCTCTAGTCTGCCCTTGGACTAGAGAGGCGTCAGTGCTTGGTTAACTTCCTGGAGCCACAGACCCCTCCTAAAGAATAGGACGGGGAGGAGTGTAGTACCGTATGGTACTGGTTACGGGAGTTGACGGAAGTTAACGGAAGGTTCCGAACCAACGGGAACTAGTGTTGTTGGGCTGACAGTAAGGCGCCATATTTGTGTGTAATATATACTAAGAAGAATTAGGCAATTCCTAGCTTGGCTACGATCCAGACGTGGAAGGTAAGTCGATTGTTTGTATTGTCAATCCCTTTATAATCAATCGCGACAGTTCTATAGTATTTTAGGCATACCGTTGTTACACAGATGCTCAGTTTCACACCATAAGTTGATATAAGATTTCTAAAAGTCAGTAAAAGATATTTAAACAGACAATATCAACATTTTAGATATTAAATTAAGAAAGAAATGAAGAAAAACAACAGTCAACACCAGTGCAGGTTGAGTAATTTAATAATCTACCGGTTTACTAGAATTTATTCATGTTATATAAAAGGTATAAACACGTAGAATGATGACGAATGCCAGACAATTCACTCCCAAGACATTTCAACATTAAGACGTTTGACTCCCAAGACGGTTTTAAAAATTCATCCCTAGACGTTTCACTCCCACTTTGTCAATTGTATAGACATGCTTATGCACGAAATATCTTGGATAAAGCGTGAGTATTGTAAAAAGTCTTGAGAATTGATAATGACATACATGTAAGATGCAACATACAAATAAGTATTTAAACTTTAATAGAAAATTTTAAAAGCCAGGACGTACTGTACAAGTATTTATCCAAAAAATACATTCAATTTATCTTTCATTGAGTTAAACCTCTGCTTAGAAAGTCTGAAAAGTGAAGTTATGCTACCATTGCAACTTGTTGGCCCGGGAAGTTGGAACAGTTTGCCAAGCTGAGGTAGTGTACTCAGTAACATTTTAAGAATACATGCAAGGAAATCGTTTAGTGGTGCTCAACCTTCAAGCTATAAGAATTACAGTCACTTTCACCCCACTTTCACTCTGTTTTACCATAGGTAATCGACCTAAATATTATTTTGATTTTTGTTAACAATAGAATAATAGGTTCTGTGTACATTTGAAACATAAACCACTGTTTTACAAAAGATCACTAACGCCGTCCCATCAAATACCGGATACTGTACACCATAATTTATTCAACGAAAACTCTTCTGCAACTGAGGAAGCGAGGTCAGTTGTAAAATCAATTGCGGAAAATATTCTGAAGGAAAATAATACGCATACGCTTACTACTGATATCGGACTTCTAGAGTCAAAATGCTTGACGGCATAAGCTGATGACGCCTTTGTATTCTTGGTTTAATGTCAAAACAAATTTGTAAGTTCCCTCTTAGTTTGTGTTCTTAATGTTTGCCGTTATTGATCAGCTGTTCTTTGTTTACATATTTTTAAATCAAGGTCAAACACTGATAATGCATTACGAACATTTAACAATGGAAATTGGAGACTCTTAGGAATGAAATAAATAATTCTTCTATGTATCGCTGGTAGTTAGTGGAATGCCAGACGTTTCACTCCCAAGATATACAATTTCAAAAATTATTTAGACGTTTTACTCCCTGGACGGTTCACAACTACTGAACTAGATGTTCCACTCCCACTTTGTAAATTGTATCTATAGACGTTTCATTCATATTTTTTTACTTGAGATGTTAGATAGAAAAGTAAAAAAAAAATTCTTATTTTAAATGTTCAAATGCAAATTAGATTTAATATTGCATATTTTAAAGAATTAACGGTTCTGGCCTCTGGGTCATTTCCGACAGATCAAAATTGGCGTGAAATTGACGACAAAAGTGTCAGCTCATTCTGATATTATTTCGACCCTATTCAAAGTAAGGGAGATATGTAACTTTCGCTATTTTTTCAGAGATTACAGTAGTACAACTCGAGTGATTTTTGCACTTTCCACTTTGTCACCGTGGATATTTTAACGGTGAGTGGAAAATTGCAGGTGACATACTACATGTATGGTCAGTCACAGTGGCAAATCACCACAGATGGGTAAAAAAATCCCCGCAATCACCGGTGGAGAATCACAGGGATTCTCCATGATCAATATTGCCACATTGTTGTCTTATGAGAAAAAGTTATAATAAGACTTATCTGTTGCTTAAATAACATCCATAACATCATCTGTATATGTATATAAATTTTTTTTAAATTTTTTTTACTGTACTATATCCTATTTATTTGCTTGCATGCAACATCATATCTCATCAATATTTGCTTGTATCTTCATACACTTATTTAAGAGCATAATAGTAGGTCACTGTCCATGACCCATACATTAGTTCTGCAAACAGTGACTGTATGTGTTGCGTTTTCAACCTTTCATATGTCATGGTTTGAATTGAAAGTTTTTGCTATTTGTCATGTTTTTTTCCTTACAGTTTTTACAAGGCACAGAAAAAATTTAAAAGGCATTTATTGAAAATAAGTCAGACTGAAATTTTACTCTTGGACACCAAGAAAACTAAACATACCTAGGGTCATGAAACTTTACAGGAATGTTGATCAGTATGTGAAGTTGTGCACCTGAGATTTAACTTGTGGATTTATTCTGTTTTGTTAGATTTATTGCCCTTTCTATTTTCTATATATCTGGCACATAGCTCAAAAATCTTTTGACTTAGAGTTATGAAACTTTAAAGGAATCTTGTTCAGCATGTATAGTTGTGTACCAGGGGTTTTGGTTGTAGATATATCCAGTATTTCTAGAGTTATTGCCCTTGAATTACTAGAAATTTCAATTTTTAATTTGTGTAGAGTGTATCTCAAAAGAATTTGACCTACAGTCATGAAACTTTACAGAATTGTTGGTCGGCATGTGTAGTTGTGTACCTGGGGGTTTGATTGTGGATTTATTCAGTATTTGTAGAGAAATCGCCCTTAACTTGGTAAAAACCATTCCAAAATGGTGTGTTATGTGTACCTTGAGTGCTTGAGTTAGAATTAACCAACTTTACAGGAATGATGATCAACATCACTCTGAAGCTCACTGTGCACCTTGGGTTTTGCATGTGGATTTTTCCCCCCCCCCCCAGTTTTTTAGAGTTATTGTCCTCGACTTAGTATATTTTGCAATTTTCAACTTGTTCATGTGTAATTCAAAAACTATTTGACCTGTAGTCCTGAAAGTTAGTGACGGCTAGTCAGTAGATTGACAAAACAGTGGACTGTTGGGACACCTGTATCCTATGGACATATTTCTAGTTTTAGCTCAAGTTAGAATAAGGGTCACCTAGGATCAAAAACTAGGTCACAGAGCCTATATATCGGAAAACATTGTTAACACAATTGAGGTAACATTTTCAGCTTATAAATTATTATCTTATAAATTGGTCAGAAAGATTGTTTAGAGGATTTCTAGCTCAAGTTCAAATATGGATCACCTGGAGTCAAAAACTAGGTCACACAGCCCAAATACAGAAAAACCTTGTTTACACTCTTGAGGTAATATTTTTAAGCCAAATTTTTATAAAATTTGTCAGACAGATTGTTTTGAAAAGTTCAAGCTCAAATTTGAATAAGTCATCTGGGGTCAAAAACAAGGTCACATGGTTAAAATATAGAAAACCCTTATTATAGCTATAGAGGTTACATTTTTAGCCCAAATATATTGACAATGTGTTAGAAAGGTTGTTCATTGATTTCTAGCTGGAATATGGGTTATCTGGGGTTAAAATCAAAGTCACCAGCATAAATATGGAAAAATCTTGTTAACAGTTGAGAAGCTACTGTTTTGGTGGAGACGTCCTGGAAATAGATGTTCAGTTGTAAGAAAGGATGTCATGATCAATCACAAAGAAAGTGAACCGCAACATCTTAGAATTGAACCTGGGTTGCTGGATTCACAGTCTAAGGCTCTGCCAATTTAACTAACCGGACATTTAATAGGATATTGAATAATATGCAATAGTAATGCCAAGTCTGTGCAATATGATGTATGTTGCAGAAATGGGCAATTTTATGATTAATCAAATTGAAAGAAATAAATTAGCAGTTAAAAATATAATATCGTAGTAGCAGATTTTCTATAAAATGTATTTTCAGTCTACTTACCTCTTTACTATCTATGACACAGTTTCTGTGTTACTATGCTAAATTCCTGTGTTATTTTCACATTCCTGCATTAAATGATAGACATTGACTTTAGTCGAAGGTATAATAGAAGGTTTGACATCTCACCAACACAGAATAGATAACCATCATAATGTGACTTTGAATTTTTATGGTGCTTTATTATAAAGCTTCCTCACAGGAAAGAATCTAATGTCCTGTAGAGATTCAAACCCACAGTGTTGAGGGGCAAAAACCACTTTGTCATGGATGCCCCTTAGGTAAATGTGTAATTAGGGCCCTGTATAGAAAATATTTTTTGTTCATTGGCCAGGGATTATTTCTGTATTATAATTTTTAGCTCGACTTTTCGCAGAATAATCGAGCTTAAATGCAGACACCCATTTGTCTGCCTAATGGTGTCCCTGTGGTTAAATCTTTGCGTGTAAGATGGGATCTCCATAGCTACTGAAGGGAATGAATTGAAACTTCACACACTTGTTCTCTGTGATTATCTAACATGATTGGCACAAGTCCCATTACTCTGATTTGCTTTTTTGCATAATTATGCCCCTTTTTCGACTTAGAAATTCTTAATGGTCAATTTTTTGTGTGTAAGCCAGTATCTCCATAACTACTGAAGGGAATGGATTGAAACTTCACAAACTTGTGCTCTGTGATTATCTAACATGATTGGCACAAGTCCCATAACTCTAATTGCTTTTTTGCATATTTATGCCCCTTTTCAACTTAAAAATTCTTGGTTTAGTTTTTGCTTGTTATAATGCTGGTATTTCCATAACTACTGAAGGGTTTGTGCCTTTTTTTTGTGACAATTTTTTGCATTCATAATAATCAAGCAGTGATTTACTCAATAAAACATCTTAGTAACAAGCCTTTGTACCTTTTCCGACAATTTCATGTATTCATATAGGTAAATTCATATAGGTAAGCATTATTATACTCAATGAAACACCCTTGTGACAACTTTTTCGAATAGTCGAGCGTCGCTGTCCTCCGACAGTTCTTGTTATATTTTTATTTAGTCACAGCTTCACTTTAGAAAAAAGGCTTTGTTCCCATGTGAAAGCTACATGTAGATGATAATCCAGTTGATTCATTTTTTGAATTGGCAGTTTGTACTGAAAAGAAGTTGGACTTTCAACAGGAAAATTGAGTATTGTTTTCCTTGTTACTATATATAATGATGTTTGGTTGTAGAGATAATTTTGTCTTAAAAATGTCAGATTGATTCTGTTAAGTTAATTTGAAAAGGGGAAATACGACTTAATGTAGTAAGGACAGCGACAGCAGTTGTTCAGGTATAATCTTTTCTCTCTATGACAATTAACTTAAGTCATTTTGTTAACATGGAAGTAAACTTTAGAACTTAAATAAGCCAAGATAGAACACTAAAAAGTAATTATATAGTTCAAATAATTTAAAAAAGTAAATGAGTTGCTTAACAGTTCTCTTTTTTAACATTTAATATAAATATAAAATATAAACTTAAAAGCATTACATCATTAATTTAAAAGGTCAAATTATCAGGGTTTGACACTTAACTTTTAAACTTAGAGGAATCATGACGGGACATCAACTTTGAAAATCAGAAATCCCTTGCTAAAATAAGAAGTCCGTCAAAATGTAACTATATTAATGGGGTGGGGGATTATTTATGACTATTGAAAATCTAAGGGAGGGGACATTTTTGAAATGCAATATAAATTTTATCGAGTGAGGCATAATACCAGGTAATAAATGCTTGATTTTTGTAAGCATTACTTTTTAATTTCAGTTTTAGCTTAAGAAAGGTGAAAATGTGTGTTGACAATTGACAAAAAGAAACAAACAAACTGCTTTGGTTTCGATATTTGTAGTATTAATTTATGGCAATTAAAAGTTGTAAATAATTGATAAGATCTAATATAAAAATCCTACAAATTAACTAGTAACTTTTAAATACTTTCCTGGTACCCAGGTGATTTATTGATTGTTTTATAAATTATCTTTTCTGTTTAAGTAAATTAGGTTAAGTTTTTTGAACCACTAAAGCCTTTGAGGGTTAGCTTTAAAACTTTGCATACTTGGAAGTGACCATCAGTCCAAGGGCCAAGCAAATACTTATTAAAGTCTATTGCACTGTCTTATGACCAGCTCTTGTTATATGTATCTAGCTTCTGGTAGCTGACTTATTATGCAAACATTTGATAGATGTATGTAGACACTAGTCACTAAGCATCAATAATTCATGCAGACCTTCTAAATTAATTGTCTTGTAACATTGTAGAAATGTATACTATTTTGATGCCCCTAAGTATGAGTGGCATGTGATAAGAGTTTCTTTAAGAAAAAGACTTTGTGAACATATTTTCTTTACTAACCAATCTAGTTTCAATATATTTTATAGGTTAAGCTGATAAAAAAGTCTCTTCTTGTCTTATGTAGGGCAAAATTTTGCATTTACTACTGGGGTTAACAAAAGTTTACTGAGTGATCATCATATTGACATGTGAAACTAAAGGTGAAAAGCATTTTGCAAAGGAATATTATAAAACTGCATATATATCATGTATACTATGATACTAGGGACATGTATATTCAATATAAACTATATTTTATATTACAGGTAGGTTTTTTTTTGTTTTGTTTTTTATCAGTTATAAAACCTGTTTGCAAACTGTGTGTGCATGAATTAAGTACATACATGTATATTATTGATATTTGATTGAGAAAGTCTATAGCTGATCATTTTTGACAGTAAATTTAAAATAAAGTTTAAACCTGTCATTAGCATTTACCTACCTATTTAACCATTTGTCTACCTGGATAACACTGTGCGTGACTATGAAAAATAGGTCAAAGACTTTTTAGTTTAAAATTAAGAAAAAGAGTGTAAAACAGCTGCACTTCTTCCAAAAGCTGCTTTAAGTTTAATTGTTTATTTTTATCCCCCCTCCCCGGGCATATAGTAAGTAATGAAGTGTCTGTCCATCCATCTGTCCAATCTTTGGGATAGACATGGGATTTGGGTTTGTGTACTAACTGTAGCTAGATCTAACATAATAATATATATGTACAAATGTATATTAAAAACAATAAATAGTATTAGAGGAACACATGACAACGCCGGAACAAGTTTAAAATTTTAGTTTTTATTGCCATGTGCACTTGCATATACTGAAGAGTTATAGTTGGCTCTGTTGGACATTTGGTGTATTGTGCAATGTGATCAGTCTTTTAGTGCCTTACTAGTGTATAAGGCTCCCCCGTTTACAATTTTTTGTAAACGTTTACACGACTGCTAAGAACCGAAACGATACCGTTTAAACGGTGGTACCTCTATGTACTATATATACACACCATATATTTGAGTCGCCAAATGATGTCTTTCTTTCTATTTTTAATACATGTACAAATAAAGAATGTGCAAGGCTCATCACGATTGAGTCAGCACACATTTTTTGCATTGTAACCCCATTTTTTACCAAAAATGTATTATGTCACCGTAATGCTGTGTGGAGGGTTGTAAACACCCATTTTCCGTTTGTTTACTTTGGAATAAACCACTACAATTGATAAAATCCATGATTACAGGCAATGATTAAGAAATTTTGTAAGACAATATGGTCATTTCGATTAAACGGTAAACAATATCGTAAACGTTTATGAATGAAAATCGAAACGAATCCGTTTATACGTGTAATCGTGGGGGCCTTACTAGTGTACCTGTCCAACCAATTAAAATTTTTCTTTGACACTATCTCAGATAGTTTGGCGCAAATTGGCAACCTAAATGAGGAGTGTTGTTTAATGCAAGAACCAAAATTATTACTCAAAGGCAATACTCAGATTAAAGGAAAATGTCAGAGTCCATTTTTTTTTTGTCTAGACTAATATTTTGTCATAGATTTATAGATTATTGAATCACTTGGCACTAATGTCAATCTCAATGAGTCAATATGCTACACATAGGTGTTTTAATTTTCACCTCATGAGATAAACATCAAATAATTAATTATCTTCACTGTTAGTACATATTCTTGACCTGTTGCCCTAGCATTGAATAAAAGGGTGTAACTTCATGTACTAATTTGAGGTCACAACAGGTGACACTATCCCATAACTAAAATATGGATATTGACTGAAATAATAGCCCTTTTTAAGTGAAAATCTTTGTAAATATTTTACTCTTTTACCTCCTCTATAATTTAAGTCAATATTTACAAAATAAAACGTTGTAACAGTTTAAAATTGTTGCAGGATAAACATTATAAATATTCTACTGAGATGTTTTTTCATTGGACAAGACATGAATTGATCATCTAATTTAGTTCCATATAAATGTATGTTAGTGTTCAGTGAAATTTTATCTTTTGATGACTTTTTATTTCAAAAACGCCCAAAAATAATAGCTTTAAAGACAAGAATGGTCAAATATGAAATTAGTTGTGTTCTTATTAATACTCTCTATGTCATAACTGTATATAATGCTTAAGAAGTTAAAATAGGTTAATTTATTTATGAATTGAAGAATTATCCAATTTATTTACAAAAATAAATATTTTTAGAATTTAGGAATATATTCTTGGAGAATTTTGATTGTGCCTTAACAAATACTTTTATTTAGTGATTTAAGTGTTAAGAAAATTATTTTTTTAAGTTTTTGAAATAAAGTGTTTAATAATATTTATTGTATTGTTTTCACAGGTAATTATTATAGTGGTTCATTCAAATTACATTAGTTTGTAAATACACTGTCTCATTATATTTTCAGGTATATCCAAATGGTGGTAAATCATCGACGATCTTCTGGCTGCAGCTACTTAGGGACGTCAACCACGCCTGGTTACTGTAGTGCCATCTTACATCTTAGGAGGCCTATGGCCAAACTTTGTTTATCATCTCTTTTCTCCATAAGCCTTGCAGAGTTTTACAGCAGCAATAACTTAAGACAGACTTTAAAGTGTAACAATAAACTTACATTGAGAACTAAATGTTTATTTAACCCAGTGCTTGAAACTTTAAAACAGAGTGATAACAACTGTGATAATATAGAAGATTTTGAAATATTTTCTAGTGATAAAATCATTCAACAAAAGCTATTTATAGAAGCATGCCAGTTGATGATAACACTGATAGTAATCAGGAGATATCTAATGGAAAGAGTGGCCACACGCGAGAAAGTGTTAGCAGTAGCAGCAGCAGCAGTTTGGACAGTCTCTTCTCATCAGAAGATGACTCTTCCTCTATGCCCTCACCTCCAGATGGAGGCTATGGTTGGATGATAGTATTTTCAGCCTTTTTGATCAATCTGATAAGTGACGGAATTTCATTTTCATTTGGAATACTCTATACAGAGTTGCTGAATTATTTTGGAGAAAGTAAAAGTCTAACATCATGGGTTGGATCTTTATTTTATGGAACATGTTTGATTGGTGGTCCTCTTGCCAGTGCCTTAGCCACAAAGTTTGGATGCCGGAAAGTGTTGATGGTTGGTGGTACTATAGCAGCCTCTGGAGCTTTCATCAGTGCGTTCGTAGACAGTATTGGTATGCTATGTGTGACCTTTGGTGTGATCACAGGACTAGCAATGTCAATGGGGTATGTAACATCAGTTGTTATAGTTGCCTTCTATTTTGAAGACAAAAGAGCTCTAGCAACAGGTTTGTCTGTGTGTGGATCAGGAATAGGAACTTTCATATTTGCTCCTCTCACAGAGTATTTAATACAACTGTATGGGTGGCGAGGTACAATGATCATTTGGAGTGGAATAATACTAAATCTTGTAGTCTGTGGAGCTCTTCTCAGACCATTGGAATTTACTCCCCAAGAAAGAAGGTTAAGAGCTCTTCAGAAATTTGAAAGGATGTCAAGAACAGTATCTTACTCCGGAGCTTCAATAGCTGGTAGAAATGTAAGCAGGAACCCAAGTGAAGCAATGAGTGACACAGATAATTCTGATACTCTAGATGAAGATTTGCTAGAACATTGTCATTCTCAGATTCAGATACCAACATTTTTGAAAGATAAAATTCCCATACCAATAGAAATCCTTAAAGAAGGAAAGAAGAATTCAAGGGTTATCAAAGATTATGTGCAGCACTACAATGAAGAAACTTCTACTATGGCAGATAGTGAAGTTGTAGATTCCAGTAATACTTCTAAAGATGACACAGTTGTAATGTTTCAAAATGGACAAACCAATATTAAATTGGCAAATAGTACCATTAAAAATGTGGTAGGAAAACCCTCTGGAAGCTGTTTAAAGAAATCCTCAAATAATCCAAGCAAGCATCAGTCCCAACAAAAGAAGCATGTGAGAATGAGTACCTACCTACCACTGTATAGAAAGGGTTTGTTCTTCCGTGGTAACTTGGCACGCTTCACAGGATCTGCTGGTCAGGTTCGATCCACAAGTTGTCCAGAATTATCAAATAGACACTTGGATGATAGTGATAGTGAGAGCGATAGTTCCGATGATGGAGAGTGGGACTTTTTATGGCGATACTTGCATTTCAGTAAACACATGAAGCGAGTTATTAAAACAATGTTTGATCCTTCAATACTGAAACATCCCCTCTACATAATGTTTGCATTGTCAAACTTTATCTTATATTTCTGGTATGATGTTCCATATATATTTATCACCGATAGAGCTATTGAATTAGGCATGGAAGAATCAGACGCATCATTCCTTATATCTGTACTGGGCATAGTCAACACTTTCGGTCAGATATTTTATGGTTTCATTGGAGATTTAGAAGTGAACTTGAATTTGTTATATGGGTTTTCTCTAATGGCGTGTGGATTGGCTGTAGTACTTGTTCCTATATTTGTTGCCTTTGTTCCTCTGGCAGTCCTGTCTGGGGCATTTGGTCTCTTCATTAGTGTAAACTACTCCTTGAGCACGGTGATTCTAGTAGAATATCTCGGACTGGGAAAGCTGTCTAATGCTTATGGATTGACTATGCTAGTGCAAGGAATTGCCAACCTCGTTGGACCACCAATTGCAGGTAATTTTTTTTTTACATTTTTAGCTTGACTACTTTAGTATTCAAAGAATATGGAAATCAGTAACATACTAACTGTGGCCTCAGGTTCGTGCAGCCATCAAACTTTGGTAAAGGTTTTTGTATGCAAGTTGATGTCTCCCGAACTTCTAAAGGGAATGGGTTGAAACTTAAAACACTTGTTCTCTGTGACTTCACAATAGGCTCATAGTTACTTTATTTTACAGACATTATATTAAATGGCCCTATAATTTGTACTGTCAAACACTGAGAATCGTTGAGTGTGCTTACAAACAGCTCTTGTTTAAGACTGAAATAAATTATGAAAAAATCAAAATAATATATGATAATACATAATTATTGATATATTATTTCATATTAATAAATTTGAACTCTTTGTGTTGATATATTTTATAGATTTCATATTGATAAAAATGAACTTTTGTTGAATTTTGTTTATATTATATGAATTGTTATTTAGATTAAACTGTACCTTGAGATCCTGAATTGTAAATCAATATGAAATATGACACTTTATACCTATACTGTTCTCTGCAGTGATTTAAACAGCAGATTTACCATATTTCTAATGTGAACTACAAGTAAAGAATATAGAATTTCAAGTATGTGAATTAATTACAGTACAAAACTATCAGTTTCTTTATTATAAAATTTAAAATGTCTTATTTTGATGTCACTTCCTTAATTCAAGTTATTGCATGAAAAGTAAGTTTATAGCTTTGTGCCAGGTAAATAATGATAAAATACAAAAAAAATCACTTGTATGGTAAACAATCCATAGAAATTAAGCTGAAGATTATTCAAGTTGTTAAATTTCTTGACTAATGGCTATCCTCCTCACTTAGGCATTGGTATTGGCCAGACCTGGGGTAATCACTAATCGTAATCATCAATTTTTTAATTGATTACATGATTACACTGTAATCATCATGTAATTGATAACCTTGCTCAAAATTGATTACATTAATTGTAATTAATCAATTACAGCTTAAATTCAGTCTGTAATTATGATTACAATTTGATTGATGTTGATTACTTTCAGATTTTACATGAAACTATTGAAATTCAAATGATTTATTTCACATGTTACAGTTTAACTTATACTTCTTTATAATGATCTTTAATCACAAATTGTAGAATGTAAATTGATTGATTTTGATACACTGTTTTTACATAATAGCAACATTTTTATTGAATAGAAAGAACGTTCTCTAATGATATCCATATTTGAAGTAAATAATATTAATTGTCATAATAAACAATGATTGTCCATTAAAAGTAGTAAAATATTAAGTGAGACATTTTAAGACATCACTCACAATGAAGAAATAAGGTTAACCAAATTCTAACTGAAAGATATACATCATTGTTTGGCTGGTATTCTAACCAAAATGTCAAATCATTGGATTTATGATGTCTTTGAATTTCCTAAAGAGAAATCTGGAAATGTGACAGCACAGTGCAAATTGTGCCCTAGGAAGATAAATGGAAATACTAAGTCACATTAAAATTTTATTACCCACATAAAGGTATGTTAAATTTTTATGCCCCCACAATGTGGGTGCATATAGCGTTGCACTTGTCCGTCCGTCAGTCCGTCCGTCCGTACGTCCCGAAATCTTGTGAACGCAACTCCTCTTAAACCGGATGGCAGATTTTGCTTAAACTTACAGGGATGAACAACCTTAATATGTAGATGGTAGTAAAGGAAGGAATTTTTGCTGTGACCAAATTTAACAGAATTATGGCCCTTTGTTGATTTTTTTACTAGATACTATATAGAAATTTTGTGAACGCAACTCCTCTTAAACCGGATGACAGATTTTGCTTAAACTTACAGGGATGAACAACCTTAAGGTGTAGATGGTAGTAAAGGAAGGAATTTTTGATGCGACCAAATTTTACAGAATTATGGCCCTTTGTTGATTTTTTCACTATATACTATGTAGAAATTTTGTGAACGCAACTCCTCTTAAACCGGGTGGCAGATTATGCTTAAACTTACAGGGATGAACAATCTTAATGTGTAGATGGTTTTAAAGTAAGGAATTTTTGCTGCGACCAAATTTAACAGAATTATGGCCCTTTGTTGATTTTTAGTTTTCAATTTGTGGCACATGTAGTCCAAAAAATATTTGACCTAAAGTCATAAGATTGACAGAACAGTGGCGTGTGGGGGCATCCGTGTCCTATGGACACATTTCTAGTGTTTCACATATTTTGGTAAAAAGTTTCAAACAATGTAGATAACTTCTTTACTTTGTATATTCTAGAGTTTATGTCCGATGCATATTAATATGCAGCAGTTATTTTGTAAGGTGATAGAAAATGTGACTATATTATAATTGGATACTGTTGTACCATTGCAGTGTTTTTAAAAAATTGATAATTTCTTTGTAAAGCCTATTGTCTCTTTGAATTCCCATACACAAATTTATTGTTTTCACACCTGTTTTAACACCTGTATACAGCATACTGTACAAATGACCTGTTGCAGAGAGTTCATTATGAAACCTACACCAAGAAGACTGAGGACCATTCCTGCATCATCGGCCCCTGTAACACATTTGTTTAGTGTTGCGGTGGAATTTTCTGTCCTGATAGATGCAGCCTGACTGACAGACGGTTTCATGAACTTATGATGCTAAAGTCAAATGCTAAAATATGATAAAGTGACAGTGACTAAAAGTGTGTTAAATTGATGATTGTTGATGAGCTGGAAATCCTTTGTGTATATAATGTATATATTAAATAGCATTAAGAAACTTTAGTTTATAGTTATACATTGAAAGTAATCAATTATCAATCAATTACTTTCCTAAAGTAATTGCAATTTAATTGATTACAGAGGCAAGTCTGAGTAATCAATTGTAATCAATTACAATAAAATCTGAAAGTAATTGTAATTAAATCAATTACTGGTCAATGTAATCATCCCCAGGTCTGGTATTGGCATAACTATTAACACTTTGCATGAAACATTGTCACCTCATTAATCACTTATGATATTTGCTTGTAACTTCACACACTTACCTGAGAGCAGAGTAGAATGTCACTGTCCAAGGCCCATAACTCTTGCATGGATATTGACAAAATTATGGCCTTTTTAAAAAAAATCTTGGTTTTGCAGTCAACAGCAATACTCTAAGCTACTGAAGGTATTCACTATAAACTTAATATGTCACTCCAGGATCATAAAAGGATGTCACTTACAATCCAATGCCCATAACTCTAGCATGGATTTTGGGTGAATTTTAGCCCCTGTATAGAACTTTAGAAATTCTTTGTGAAAGCAGCATTAGTCTCCAGATTCATGCTACTGTTAATGAAAATTCTGATAATGTATTTAAATCATGTAAAATATTGTGAAGGGAACAAGGGAATAAGTAATTTAGATACTAGAAACTGCACTTAAATTAAATTAAAGTAAATTACCAAAAAAAAAAAGATTAACAAAAATGCCAAAAATGAGTTAGTCATACATTAAAATTATGGTGAAAATTATTATATTGCAAAAGCAGTCATTAATTGCGCATATAAACATGCAAATCATTATTTTAATTGTGAATATTTTTACTGTACATTTTTCTCAAAGTTGATCATCCTCGCATGCAGCTTTAAAGCACTGCATGCAACATCAATCTTTAAAACTACTGCAGGTATTCACTTACAATTTAATACATCAATTAAGCATCATCACGAGAGCTCACTTTTTTAACAGCCCAGTTAGTTCTGAATCATGGCTCTTTTTTAACTTCGAAAATTGCCGGTTAAAGTGTTGCATGCAACAGTATTCTTAAAAAAACTAATGGTATTCAGGTCATAATGGAAAGTCACTATTCTCTCATGAATTGTGACTGAGTTATTGTCCTTATAAAAAGTTAGAAGGAAGTCTTTCACTATGTAAATTGTATCAGTGAAGTACATACTTGACTTGTGGTACTATATTTAGATGGTGGTATTTTTTTAGTTGGCAACAGGGATTAAATTAAATGCCTATTTTACAATGTATACATGCAACCATTTTGTGCCAAGTTTAAATATTTTAAATACTTGACAATGTGTTTATTGAGTTTTGGAGCTCACCTGACCTCTTTGTGGTTCAGAGCTTTCTGAGTGCCAGTGTATGATGTTTGGTGTCAGTGAGCTCTAAATAGCAGTTTCATTTGGGTTTAATTTGTACCAAAAAAAAAAAGAGAAAAAATACTGTCACCAGTTATGTAAATCTTCGTTAATTTTTGATAATTATTGACATTCCTTCATGCATTATGGATTTGAGAAATATTTTACTTTGTCCACTTTGTGATTGGTTATATGCATGTACTTGTCATTTTTTTTCAACCAAAGTTTTGAAGATGGACAAGAACTGGTACAGAAAAGGTCAGATCCAGTCATGAACTATATTATAAGTTATTATCCCCTTATGTGCAATAATTGGTATAAGAATCTAAGAAACTTGTGATTGAATAATTTATGTGCAATATTTTATGATTAGTAATTATTTTGCCTTTCTCAGGTGTCATATGATCAATTCTAAGGACCACAATGGAAGTAAGTCGGCTATTGCCTTCTTTTTGTGTCATCCTTGGTATTGAATATATGGCATCAACAAATGCACATTTATGTTCACATGCATCTCTTGATGTTTGTTTTATGACATGTATTTTTTACCAGAATGAAACTATCCGTAACAGGACCAAATAATGTGTATTTTGTTTATACACTAATAATATACTTATATAAATTATGCACCTTACTGCACTTTGACTTAAATGACAGATATAGTTATAATTATAGGTTCCTAAGAATTACCCCAGAAACTTTTTCTTTGAGAATGTCCTGTGGTTACCAAGGCAGGGGTTTAACTGCTGTAGAACCTGTAACCTTGGCTAGTAGATGGTAGTAAAGCCTAAAGGTCATTGCATCTACTTCATATGAGAGAGCCTTATTGAATTGACCTGTATCTTAGATATGTGATATATTTTAATTAACACCTTGAACAATTTTTCCTATTCCTTTTAGGGGCCTGCCATTTACTGATCTTTGGCTCAAGATATTAGCTCAGAGACCTTAAAGCTGCATGTCTCCAGATTAGCCAAAATATTGAAAGAAAATCTAACTTAAAAAAAATGTACTAAGATTTTAAGAAAAGTAAAAAGATTCATGATTCAAGTAATAATTTATATGCTATGTGTGATTAATAACTGATTCTGTAGTATTTATCACCATAATTATTTTTACTGTGTGACTTAATTAATAAATAATATTCAACAAGACAATAAGCAAATGCTGTTTGCTCTGTGTAAATTATTTTCTTTGTTTACTTTACAATATTTCACATTTAAATACATTTTTAAATAAAAATGGAGAAATGCTGCTTTAAACACATATGTTTTACTTGCATAATATAGGCCACTAGGACAGGACTGGTTTCACTTTTATTAATTTTATGTAAACAAATTGCTACTAATTGTAATTATAATCTTCCTAACAATTTGCCTTATATGTATTTAGACTTGGGTAAGTTTTAAGCCATCATAAATACATGTATGATGTTTATTAAAAATGCCAAAATTGTACAGAGATTCATTATAGATTTATAACACAATAATGATAAACTTTGTACTTCGTATCATCAATTTGAATGTTCATGTATGTACATAAATTATGTATATCAATCTAAAGTGTTCAAGCAAAGGTTATATTTTTGTTATTTCAACAGAACACTTGAAAATCTAGTCTAAATGATTAACCCTATAATTTATTGTCACAAATTTCCCCAATGTTTCTTCTTATCAGAACTTGTATCTTACTATAGTTAAAGATAATTGAATGACTACATCATAAGTTTTCCTTTGTAAAGGATCTGAAAAAATCTATGTGTATTTATGTATATATGTAAAAATAGTTTTATAAATACATTTTAAAGAAAAATCTTTTAGCCTTAAAGTTTAAGATATGTGACCCTGTGTAAAATTTAAAACTTGCACATAAATAAACCATCAGTCATTAGCTTTAAATTAGTGTAGACTAAATGCCGACTGATTTTATTTTAGACTTATGTCATGTGTAACACCCACAGCATAACCTTTTTAGATAGAATTAGCTCATTATTTTCTATTGTCATTATAAAAAGTATAATTTGTAATGACTGTATTTCAGCTCTATTCCGCGATGCCACTCACTCTTACGATGTAACATTTTATCTTGGTGGAGGTTTCATCATCCTGTCCGGGCTACTGTTGCTGTGTGTTCCACTAAGTCGTCGATGTTGCCGTAACCTTCGCTTACAGGAGAAAACTCGAGTTTTAACAAACTATAATGCCACTAATAGAGAGATTGTGATACAACCACCGGAAGATAAGTTAGCAAATGTTGGAGATATGCCATGTTCATCACTTCTGGTAGATAACAACGAAACAAGTGTCTAGAAAAATAACATACCATTCAATATGTGATAGTAACTATTATTTCATATAGAATATGTACTTGTGATATGTATACTCTATCATTATCATATTGTGGAGAAATGATTTATAAAATGAATATATTAAATATAGAAATTGAATGTTATCATTTATTTTACATATCTCTGATAGATAAAAATGAGGAAACTTTTTTGTAGATGAAAATAATGAAACTTCCTTGTATCATTTGTGGTGTGTATCTACAAGCTTATAATTGTATAAGTTGACTTTAGTACTCAGTTTTATAGTAACTATCTTGTTAATGCATCAGAAAATTAACATGTTAGCTATTTAAAGTATTATGAAGTTAGTTTTATGTGAATTATGACTGATAAATTTATTTTCTTTGTTTCCTTATTCTTTATCTTTTTATGGAACAGAAGTTAATATGGTGATGTGATTTGTTAATTATAATTATTTTACTGTTTATGACCCTCTGCATATAGTGCTTGAATTGTTTGTCTGCCAACACTATGGTAAATAAATAGAAGGGGGAGGGCATCTATCTGTAAACAACAAAAGAGATCTGAACAAAATTTAATAACATCATAATTTAGACACTTGTCAATACTATGTTCATCTAACATTACATGTTACAAGTTACATTAAAAAATAAAATTTCATAATTTTGCTCATATAATCTTTCTGTGTATACTGATGTCTTTCATGTTTAATATGGACATACATACGGTGGTCCTCTACATTTGGATAGTGTTAGGGGTCAGTTGGGTCAAGCTAAAAAGTGCTAAAAATAGATTTTAACTCCTGCTTCATACAGCCTTTATTTATTGTCAGGTGTCTGATCATAATTTTACTGGTCCTCTAGCTTTGGGTGGAGTTAGGGGTAAAGATCATGGCTGCTAAAAATAGATTTTTCAGATTTGTTCATAAGTCCTCATATTTTTGACTGATGTATTTCATATTAATTGGATGGAATATACCTCGGATGGTCAAGAGTTGGGAGTCACGAGGTCAGGGTCTTCTGTGCTAACAATAAATTTACACCTGCTTATATGGCCTTTATGTTTCACCCATGTCTTTCATATTTAGTAGAACATACCTTGTGTTTTCCTCTAACAGGTCACTTGGGTCAAGGTCTTGCATTTATATAAATTAAATTGTTTCTAATTGGTAAGTTAAATTTTTTTTAACTTCATCAAATAGCATTGACATTCCAGCTTAATTTTTTCACAGTAGAAAAGGTAATAACTGTTTTAACAATATTTTTAGCAATGGTTTTAGGTTTCATTACTGAGTATTTGGGTAAACCTTTTTGAAAAATTTGTGGACAAGAATCTTGGCCAGGGGCACTTGTGTTTACCAAACACATTCTTCTGGTTACAAAACACATTCATGTTTAAATATTATTTTAACATACAAACAAAAACAAGGTTTGTTTATTCTTAAGTGGAGTTTATAATAACATTCATAAAATGATACTTTTTTATTTACAATATCTACTGTAACATAATAATTTCCTGTTTTGGCTTTTACACCTTTGTATCTATAAATGTGTACTAACAATCTTGAAGATTTTGTAGCATATCTCGGGTTAACCCATTCATTGTAAATTACATGAATTCAGTATATCTAATGAAGCACTTGGTAAGCAGATGTTTTATTGTTATGAAATTAACAAAAGATGTTGACAGATTGGGGTTTTTCTGTATTTATATATACATAATTGAACTGGATGTGTTTCATATTGGCTTTTTTATGATATTTGCATTCTGACATCAAATGAGGTTCAAGATTTATTTTGAAGTTTTGTTCAAATTTATTTAAAGTTTGCATTGTGCTATTCTGCTATTTGTATATGGACAAGTGCTCTCTGATCACAAATTTAATTAATTATATTGTGGTCTTCAACCTGCAGGACCAGAGGCACTATTGAGCAGTCTGGTAGTCCTTTTGGTAAAGGCCCAGAATAGAAGTAAGTGGTCCTAGGTTTGAGCTGTGGTCTACCTGCACCTGGTTTTTTTTATCTTGAAAGATAAATTCTTGATTCTGATGTAGAATGTATCTTGTTCAGAATGAACAATAGTTATTGTGTCTTTCAATTTTGTGATATTTTTTTCCTAGAACACAGTAAAAAAGAATGAATATTAGATAGATGTAAATTATAAATAAATGGATAAAGGACCAAAGTTCTGCTATGTTGCTTCTTGTTGAGAAATATTTTATATCTATTTGTTAAATATGTTTGGTTTTATTCTAAAGTAAGTTAAGTAATCTCAGAATGTTATTTTTAGTTAAATGTATAGCACAGTGATTTTTTAAGGAAATTACACCCCCCCCCCCCAAAAAAAAAAAAACAACAACAAAAAAACAAAAAACAAAACAGAAATATGATTTTGTGATTATTGTAAATGTTTTGTTGTTGAATGGTTGAAGAATTTACATTTTTAGTATACTATCATTCTTAAGTTTGTGACCAAGAAAAAATGCATTTGGTGTTTTCATTTGTTCACTTTTATTCATATTTTTACAGATCACTGCATATTATGCTTCTTTCTTAATATTGGCAGTTCTTAAGTGTTTTATTTTCTTTAGTTAAGTATAACTCTTTTCTTTAATAATGTAACAAAGTTTTGATTTTAGAAGAATATCAAAGCTTCCTTGATTGGTTGATCGGAAAATCCCATTGCAAGTTTAGTCGACATTGCCATTACAAGCTTTTTGATGCATACACTACCATTTTTTTTTTCAATACATAAAATCCAATGTTTCAGTAAATGGATTGATACCGTCTAAGAAGTATTGCAAGAAGTTAATATCTATATTAGTCTTAATGTAATATTTTGCATGATTAATACATTAAACAGTGATGTTTAGATATTAATCTTTATTTAATTTTACCCATGAAATATGGTGATATATCAGTCAAATATATTTCATATTTTTAAAAAATAAATATGAAATATAAATATGAAAGTCGGCGGAGTCAAAACTCATATTTATTTTAAGGGACTTCTTTCGCCATTTTGTTTGAAAAATCTAATACGTTTAAAAGAGTTGTTTACGTGACGTCACAATGTAGCGCTAAATATCGCGTGCAAAACAAGACAATAATTAAATTACTGCGCGCTGTACAATTGCAGTTGCGTAGCAAGCAAGGGGGTTCGTAACCATTTTTCTTTGATAATGAAATTAAATAAAAAAGTTATTTTTTTTGTTTTTCGTGAAATATTGTATATATTTTCACTCAACAAGATAAAATACCACATATTTTCACTCGCCGTCCCGGCTCGTGAAAATATGTGGCATTTTATCATATTTCGTGAAAATATATTCCATATTTCACTCAAACGAAAAAATATCCTCTTAATATTCAAAGCTCTACAAGTCAATTATACAGATAAATTACCTGGTTACAACATACAAACAGAAAGATTTAGGAGAGATGAAGTCTTAAGTTCACTTTTCATTTTAACCCATAGCCTGCTGAGGGCAACTAAATATAGCCATTGGACCAATGTAAACCTAGATCAAGTGGCATATCTATGCCATCTGGCCCCGTATTCACAAAGATTTAAGGATCAGGATCAAATTTAAAAAGTCTAATATTCTTCATTGTTTATATCCTCATAGATTAAAATATCTAATATCAATTTGATAAAACTGGACTTGCAAAAGCAAGTTTATAAAATTTTAGAATAAATTTATTGTTATTTTTTGCGAGATACAGGCATTTTACAGTTGATCCAAATATTGATCCTGATCCTTTGTTTGATCCAAATAAATTTTGTTTTTGTTTTGTAATTTGTTGATTTCATCTCAAAATAGTTGATAATAATATTTTTTTTGCAACTCAGAAATCTTTTACATTTTGAATATTTACCATTTAATTCTAGCATAACAAGATTAATTTTAGTAACATAAAACAATGAAAATAAAATCAGGATCACTTGATTATTACTAGTATCTGCACTGTTCGCTTTTTGGTCAATATTTACTTAGAAATGATTAATGGTTATGCCCAGATTGTAAATTGGGCATGTCTATTTAAGATATTGAGCATAGTAGGGTTAAATACATTGAAATCATTGCACACATTAAAGGAAAAAAGTTTGATGTATGCTGGAAAAAAGAAATACATGTACATTTTACAATTGTAAAATAATCCTGTGAATGGCTGGTGGGAGGAAGGGAAAGTTTTAACAAAGAATATTTACTTCCTGTTTACTTTATTAAACCATATTTCATATTGATTCCCTTCAGTACCCTCATTACTGTATCATCTAATAAGTGCTTATTTTACATGTATTTTTCTTTGTTTTAAATAGGTATTTCTTAGAATTTCAAGAAAAAAGAAAATATTTTTTGTTTGTTTATAAAAGTTAATCAACATTGTACAGTCCTAGACTAATCTAAGGATTATTCCCATTGTTCCCTGTTGCTTTCGCTAAAAAGGCTGGTATTTGGAATAGAAATATATCACAGAATATTGTTATTTCATTACATTAATATTTAATTATAACATATGTCAAAAAGGTAATTTATATTTTGGCTATATGTTGGAACACATTTTCAATTTTTCCAACAAAGGAGTTTAGAGTGGAGAATTGAAGCTTAACTGAGATCTTCCCAAGAGACTACATTATATGTTAAGTATCCGTGTGACTTTTGTTTAAACTGACCCTGTAAACTTTAATTGTTATATTATTAATATCTTACTTTTCAATAGTTTTACATGTGATATAATTATATAGTTAACAAGATGTGTCTTGTCACATACAACAATGGGGGACACTAAATCAGGGCACAGTATTGTTTATATGAAAGAAAATGAGTTTGCACTGATACAACAATTAAAGAAAAGAAAGTAATTTAAGTGTAGTGTGTTACTAATCAAGAAGTCAATTATGAATCTTTATAAACACTGGTGTTATTAAGTGTAGGGAAAGTCCTTTATATTTTATTTTTTCGAAATAGTTTATTGTTATTGCACACTGTAGAGGTACACAAATAATATTAAAGCTGTTCAAATTAAAATCATGACCATCAAATAAGTTATATTAGTTATAAAATAATGTAATTATCAATCTATGTTATTTGTGTGACTACTAGACAAGTGTTGAAAATAACCATTACATCCTTTTTCAAGAATCACAAACTTTAAAAAATTTTAGACTTAAGGAGGCATTCTAGTTGATTAAAAAATACTTTTTTCACTTTATTTTTCAACAATTACATTTTTTATTATTGATAAAACATAATTTAATTGTATAATTAATTTCATTTTACTTATTGCTTTTCTTTTGATATATATGTCATTTAATTATCAAATGATTTTTTTATTTTCTTTTAAACTAGAAAAGTTTTATCAATGGTATCAATTATTTTCCTTGTTTAGATAAGGTAGTTTGTCTTGTGTTACATTTGTCTGTATCTGTTATGACATACATGTATCATGTGATAATTTAACTTGCAGTATAACATCATTTGTAACTAAATGGTTAAGGTGTCACTTTGTTATCACCAATAAAGCTTTAAGTTAGAATTTGAGAATCCATAGATGATTCTAAATTTTTTTATGACAAAATGTTGAATTATGCTTACGTGGGTGCTAGGAATCTTTGACGGTTGCTTGCATTTACTACTGTCCATGGACAGGCTTAATCAAACCACGCCTGCAACAATTTCCATTATTTTACCGTATTGGGCGTTCTTTAGGGATTCCATTTTTGACCATGCCATAAACTAGAGATTCCCGGGTTGATATACATATATTACCTGCACCTTACCATGAGTTCTCTTTTTTCAGCAATAAAGCTTAATATAGTATCACAAAATCACGTTTGTATAAAATCCTACATTTGGTGTAACCTTGGGTTATAAAATATGTACAATCATAATTCATTAATTAATTTTATACCATTCCTATTTTATTTTTTGTTTAAGATCTTCAAAAGTTTATTTATAGATCTAATTACAAATGTAGTTATTTATAGATCTAATTTAGTCAGTCTGTTTTGTAAAAGTTTCCATAATTTTAGTTTAATATAAAGTTTTATTTACACTTTGTTATGCTTTTATGTTTTTGTTATTTGTATATTCACAAGTTTTTCTTTGTTTTGAAATATAGTTTTTATTTACATATTTTAGTTTACTTGGCAAGTAATAGATGGTTTTTATGGGTGTAGATTTCAAAATCCTAGTGTGTATTGTTGCATAATATTATACAAAATGTGCTTTTAACTTTACAGCTTTGGTGTACACATGTATCATTTTCCGTGTACACATGTATATATGTACTACAAAAATAGTATGATCAGATCAGGTATTTTCTTCTTAGTTTAAGAATGTGATGTTGTTTGTTGTTGTTTTGTTAAAGAATATGCACAGTCATGATATTGTAAGTGCAGTAAGAAATAAAATGTGAATCTGTCAAAAAGTTTGTTATTATAATTGTCTGTCATTATATCTTAGTGAATTGTATATTCTTTAAGTAAATAAATATAGAAAATGTTGCACGCGAAAAACTGATAATAAAAGTTTATTAACTGTTAAAAATTAAGGGAAAGGATAAAGAGGTATGTAAGTTTAATTTTCTTCAAATGAATGAGAGGTCACAAAGCCTTGTACCAGATTAAAATATTACTTTTTTAATGTATTTGATGCGACAGAAGCTTGAAGCTTGCATAAACCACACTAGTTTGCTTCATGTGAGAACAAATCGGCAGAACTAAGCCTACAATCCCTTGGAAAGAGACAGACACACTTACTACATTGCAGTAAAAGTCCTAACTTTTATGCATGACAAAAATCTATACGAAAACACAGAGTTGTTTACAACCAGTTATATTGTTGATCAATGCTCTTTATGAAGAAAGCATTTTGACCTGGAAAAATACATTTTCCTACAGCAAAATATTTTTTCATAATTTTATGCTATTTTTTTCATTTACATAATTTATAATTAATTATATATAATAAACCTTGATAATTCAGTTAAAGCTCAGACTACCCTGCAAGAACAAAACATTGAACTGGCTATTTAAGTAAAGTACATTGACCATTGTATATACGATAGATGAGTTCTACAAGTCACTCCCATTTACCAGTTAAAAGGTCAAGGTCACTTGGACAAATGATAAAAATTACAACTGGCTGTTAAACCTAGGATCTTCAAACTGTATGATGATGCACCTAGATGAGGTCTATATAATCTGTCACACCCATTTTCATGTCAAAAGGTTTAAGGCCAAGGTCACAGTGACCTGTCAAAACACAACATTAAAATGAAAGTGAATTGACCTAGGATCTTTAAACTTTGTATATAGATGGACCTTGATGAGTTCTACAGGTCACACACAATTGGGGTTTAAAGAGCCGTCACAAATTGGGGTCATGCTCTACTTTCCTATTTAAATAAAATCTTTAACATGTGACATTGTCTGTGTTGTCTAAGTGATTGTCAGCCCACTTTGCTTATTAAGGAAAGCAGGAGTCATTGATTTGACTACATGCAAGGCAAAAAATCTCCCTGACAATAATTATTGCTCGTCTAATGATCATTTGGATGTCACTGAGGATGAATCATATGAGATGGTCAATTGTGGAGAAATTAATAATTACTGGTTAGTTATCCTGGATAGCATTGACCAGATGAACAGAAACCATTGAAAAAGAATATTGTAAGAAATTATTAAATTCAACACATGGGGTATGTACTTGTGTCTTTTTTGTCATTTGAGCAACCAAATCACATTGTTACAAGGGAAAGTACTCTTACATGACAAAATTTAACCAAGGCTATCAGATTCTGACTATTTGAAATTCTTTTATTGCTTTGCCAAGGGGAATTATTCAGGGAAAACTCCATGTCTGTCTTACAATTATTACTCTCAGGACATGAATGTGTGAATGGTTTCAAGTAAGTATACCTGCAGTGATGATGGAGAATTACAGAACCTTAATTTTTTTAGTTCAGAAGAAAATAAAAATGCTAGTCAATGACGTTCAATTATGACTCCTAAAAATATACAAAGTTCCTTCTGTGTGCAACTCCTACTTATCTCAATGGATTTTAAACAAACAGTTACCAAGTGCAGAATAATGACCTCTTTTTTCATGTATGTAATGTATATGAGGTTATTATAAATTGTAGAGTTAAATGTTGGATTCTATTTTCTTTTTTTTTGTTTTGCAAAGAACAAAAAAAATGTAATGAATTAAGAGGATTCTTTTAGAGCAGTACATACATTGTAGCTCTGACCTGTAAAACTTACAGAATAGAATATGATGTATCTGAACTGAACAATGTAAAATATCTTCTTATTTAACTTTTGCTTAATGAAATAGTTTTTTAATCATCATTTAACATTTTGATATAAATCGTACATTTAAAAACTTTCATTGCAGTTAATTAACATCCTTTCAGATTAGGTTCTTGAATATGTAAGGGAGGCAACTTGTACAAGATTAATTTATCAATTTTACAACAACAATCAGAGTAACTTTAAGTAGATATGGGGGACATATTCTGGGGGTTGTATAGTCAATTCCAGTAGTACAGTCTATCTTTGCCTGTTTTGACTGGCAAATACTAGAAACAGGAAGTTATTATCATATTTACTGGCCCAGTTTGTACAAATCTTCGGACAAAAAATATATTATAATGTTTATGATATAATAATTTGTTTCAAGGTGAAAAGGCGTTGATTCATATTTTTAAATAATGCACTTTGTATATTTTTTGTTATTCATAAACAAGAGGGCCATGATGGCCCTGAGGTCGCTCACCTGTATATAGGCCCCCCCACCCCCGGGCAAATTTTTACCCAAGGGCTTTTATTTGTTTATTTGAACAGACTTGGTACACACCCATAAGAAGATGTTTCATGCTAAACATCTAAGTTCTAGCTCATTGGTTTTTTTAAAAGAAGATTTTTAAAGTTTTTACTATACACATATAGTTTAAAACAATGTCACCCCTGGGGCAGGGCCAGTTTTGACCCCCGGGCGTTTATTTTATCAAACTTTGTAGATATTTACTTAAAGATGTTTCATGCTTAATATCTAAACTCTAGCTATTTGGGTTTTTCCAAAGAAGATTTTTAAGTTTTTGCTATACACATATAAGGAAAATCAATGACATCCCCCCCCGGGCGGGGCCAGTTTTGACCCCAGGGATTTTATTTGAACATACTTGGTAGACACCCATTAGAACATGTTTCATGCTTAATATCTTAGCTCTAGCTCTTTGAGTTCTTTAAAAGAAGATTTTTTAAGTTTTTACTATATGCATATAGGGAAAATCTATGACCCCCTGGGGCAGGGTCAATTTTGACCCCAGGGCTTTTATTTGAACAAACTTGGTAGACACCCATTAGAACATGTTTCATGCTTAATATCTTAGCTCTAGCTCTTTGAGTTCTTTAAAAGAAGATTTTTTAAGTTTTTACTATATGCATATAGGGAAAATCTATGACCCCCTGGGGCAGGGTCAATTTTGACCCCAGGGCTTTTATTTGAACAAACTTGGTAGACATTCACTAGAAGATGTTTCATGCTAAATATCTTAGCTCTAGCTCTTTGGGTTCTTTAAAAGAAGATTTTTTAAGTTTTTACTATATGCATATGCATATAGGGAAAATCAATGACCCCCGGGGCGGGGCCAATTTTGACCCCAGGGCTTTAATTTGAACAAACTTGGTAGACACTCACTAGAAGATGTTTCATGCTTAATATCTTAGCTCTAGCTCTTTGGGTTCTTTAAAAGAAAATTTTTTAAGTTTTTACTATATGCATATAGGGAAAATCTATGACCCCCTGGGGCGGGGTCAATTTTGACCCCAGGGCTTTTATTTGAACAAACTTGGTAGACATTCACTAGAAGATGTTTCATGCCAAATATCTAAGCTCTAGCTCTTATGGTTCTTTAAAAGAAGATTTTTTAAGTTTTTACTATATGCATATAGGGAAAATCAATGACCCCCGGGGCGGGGCCAATTTTGACCCCAGGGCTTTAATTTGAACAAACTTGGTAGACACTCACTAGAAGATGTTTCATGCTTAATATCTTAGCTCTAGCTCTTTGGGTTCTTTAAAAGAAGATTTTTTAAGTTTTTACTATATGCATATAGGGAAAATCAATGACCCCCTGGGGCGGGGCCAATTTTGACCCCAGGGCTTTTATTTGAACAAACTTGGTAGACATTCACTAGAAGATGTTTCATGCCAAATATCTAAGCTCTAGCTCTTATGGTTCTTTAAAAGAAGATTTTTTAAGTTTTTACTATATGCATATAGGGAAAATCAATGACCCCCAGGGGCGGGGCCAATTTTGACCCCAGGGCTTTTATTTGAACAAACTTGGTAGACACTCACTAGAAGATGTTTCATGCCAAATATCTAAGCTCTAGCTCTTATGGTTTTTTAAAAGAAGATATTTAAAGTTTTTTCTTTTGGTTGCCATGGCAACCAGAGTTCTGCATGGAATTAAATTCTTTGAACAATTTTTAAAGGTGACCACCAAAGGAACATTCCTCTGAAGTTTGGATGAAATTGGCTCAGTGGTTTATGAGGAGATGTCATTTAAAGCAAAAGTTTACGGACGGACGGACGACGGACGGACGGACGGACGCCGGACGAAAAGCGATCACAAAAGCTCACCCTGTCACTTTGTGACAGGTGAGCTAAAAAAACTGGAAAATACTGAAAGGCCAGCAATAGTATATCCCAAAATATGGCTTTCATGGAAATGAAATAGTCTGGATTTATATAAGAGGAACACATGGGGCAAATGCTGGAAGCGCTATGGGTGCTTTCTGTAAGGTGAAGAATAAAGAGATCTAAGAGTCTGTAACAAATAATTCAAACAATTTACATGCAAATTAAGCTTGGAGTATTTCCGATGAAATTTGTATACAGTAGATATTAAAATCACATCCATCAACGCCCTTACACAGCCTTTGGTTGGTTTATACAGAACTTATTTTAGTTTGTGTAGGAAGCTATAAGCCGATAGATACACTTTTGAATTTGTTCCTGGAACTAACCAGTACTGAGCAATGAGTGTAAAGTTTCTTGCTCAAGGAAACAACGACTTACCCCTGACAGGGTTTGAACCCATGCGGCTAGCGATCATTAGATTACTAGTCCTACGCATTAACCACTCAGCCATGCCGCTACATTTGGTTGGTTCTATTTAGCTACAACAACACAAAGATATCATAATACCTTTTGTAAGTTTTTAATGTAGTACATGACCTTTGAAAGACAAATTATGATAATTCAAATGAAGCACAATAAATAATCAATGTGACAAAATCTAACTAAAATCTATACAAACCAGGAATTACAACATCTGGATTTAAATCATAAAAACAAAACATCTTATATCTAACAAATAAGCCAACAAAACTGAAATTTTAACAACTGTCCATTTAGCAAAACTAGAACAAAACAATAACTAAAGAAATTAAACAACATTTTGTTATGTTTCACTCTTTATAAAAATTCCTGTTCATTTTCATATTTACATATCTATTTCAAAATTCAGTGGAAACTCAAAATATCTAGACCCAAAAATTGTTCACAGAAAATAAGATTGGATAAATCTAAAAATGCATGTAAGCCTGAGTCGCCAATTGTTTTACCAGCATTTTGGATTTATCATTGAAGTATCAGAATATAAGCTTTTAACAAAAGTATACCTAAAAATGTTCAATGTAAAAGTGTACATGATACAGTTACTTTATGTCATATACCAAAATCTATTAGCACATTTTTAAGCACTTAATTAAAGTGATCATGCAACTTAACAAGAGCTGTCAATAGGACAGCCTCCTCAACTTTTCAAGTAAAACAAGAGTTTAAACAATATAGTACAAACAAGGCCATAATTCTATCAAAATCCATGTTAAAGTTAAAGGCCTTGGACAGTGACCTCCTATTATGCCCTCAAATAAGTTTGTAGGCCTGAAGATACTAACATGCATGCAAAAACTTATCCAAAGTGTGATGCAGATGACAGCATGAGTACAGTAGCTCTTCTTATTCTTCCAATAGTCAAGCTTAAATTGTTTTGTGCCGGTCTGTTTTTTTCTTTATCGTTGCAAGCATATAATACCATTATAAAAGTTACTACAATTTTTAACTTTGTAGTAGACTGAAAGTTAGTATCATAATAAAATTTTGATCTAAATGTTTAAAACAAAAAAGTGGTGAAAAAGAGATCAAAAATAGTTAAAGTTAAACAAAATCTGATACTTGGAATCATTACCACTAAATCAAACTCATTTTATAAACTGACAAAACATTGATAAAATCTGACTATCCTATATGATCAATAAAAATCTGACAAAATTAAATACTTATTGCTCATAAATGAAAGTTTTGTTTTTATAATGAAAAAAAAAGGAAAAGTTAAATTTAATAGTGGTAATGCCTTATAACGAGTGTACACCCACTTTTAATAGTGGTAATACCTTATAACAAGTGTACACCCACTTTAAAAACAATCAATGCAAACATACAATTAGAAACATTCCTGTTATAAAAAATATGTGAAGTGTTAAAAATATGTAAATAATAATTTCTAAAATGACTTTACTCTGCCCAGGATGATATTTTCATAGCCAAAATATTAATGTTTATATGTTCTTGGTAATTCCCATATATCAATTTATCACTTGTTTTTTCAGCATTAGGAAGTTGTAACAACATAAAAATAGCCAACAATGATCCATATTTCTACAATTGAAGAAAATAAATAGATTACATGTTCATGTAGGATATACATGGGGAAAATATCGCAAATTCATATGAAATGCATACATAATTATCTGTAAATTATGAAATAATGAAACAGGTAATTTAACATAATTATGCTGAAAATTTACCATCTAAACTAGAAAACACCCACACAACTCAACACATTCCAGAGTGAAATTATAAAATGATGTGTGCTTAAATTAACAAACCAACATGATGTTTTAAAAGGGTAAATGGTTAAAGGTACTTCACACATTTAAGGATATACAAGGTAAATAGAAAAAAAAATCAATGAAAAAAAATGTTGTTTTCCATTGTAAATTTCAGATTTTCAAACCCTGAAAATGTTACATCTCATAAAATTTGTGTCAAGTTTTTAACATTTTGTTCCACAATGGTAACTACTATTTAGAAAACACAGTATATTTACAGTATTTACCCTGCAAACTGTTAAGTACAAATGGGAAATAAATGTCACAAAAAAGATTATACACAATTCAAGTTTTATTTTAACACTAACAAAATCTTAAGCATTAAAATATAACAATGTTAAATCCACATATTTTCTAACAGATCTACTAATACTAATTCTTCATTTGAAAAAAGGTCACAAAATAAAACGTTTAAAAATCAAACAGATTTGAATTTACTCACATCTAGTCTTGTTACATTGTCAATACCAGTGGTGTTTCTTCAGTTTATAACAAACAGTATCATGTAAAGTGATATCGAAATAACCTGTTCTTCTTACATTTTGTTCATTCTAAGAATCTGGATTTCAAGATGGGCTTACGTTACATAACATAACCATCATTTAGAATGAAATCAACAACCATAAAAAATAATTTAACATACAAATTCATTCTCAAAAAGAAAGGCCTGGTATCCTTTATGATGCAATGTACTTAAAACTTACTTCTTTTATTTCAGGTTTGGAAAAAAGGAGATTCAAAAACTGTGGATAAAGACCAATCACATCTGTTTTCTTTTCATGTTGTATATAAATATGTTGTATTATTAGATCACAGTTTAAGTTGTAGCTTCATCAAGTTGCATGTTTTTTGGTATATTCACGTGCGTTGTGATCATATTTCTTTTTATCTTGCTTAAATATTTTGGCAATGTCTGGCATCAGAGGGTCATCTGGATTTGGCTCTGACAATAATGCAAGTATTGACAAAAGTACTGAAATATAGATTGTAAAGATTATATACATGTAGTTGGATAAGTAAACTGTCTTAACATTGTGCATTATTTTCTTGCTATAAGTTCATAGCGCATAAAGTAACATTAACTTTGATCCATCCAAAGTTTGGACTGACCGCTATGCTAGAATTATCCATTGTCAATTTGTAATGTATATTTGTATTATTATGTTGGATTTAAAGTTTCACTAACACTGTCAAAGTCTTAAAGTGACTTTTCAGTTTCACTGATGGAGGAAGTCCTATATAACCTCTTCATGCATTACACTAGCAGTCACAAGAGTGGAACCACCAACCTTCTGTAAGTTAGCTGGACAGCTTCCTAACAAATCAAAGTCCCTGATAAGATAAAAACTCACAGCTTCAAGGATCAGTGATAAGAAGTATGCCTCCTTAACCAATCACCACAATTAAGTATATAGACATCAAAAATATAAAATTATGTAGTCAGTAGTTCAGAGTGTAATAACAAGCTATAAATATTCAACTTGATAATTACACAGATTTTATTTCATGCTTTCCAGTGTTTTACTGTAATATATCAGATGATTATATTCCGATAAACCACTAGTGAAATTTATAAAATATAATTTTCACTGTAGCCTGACATCTGAATGCAGATGAAAAGAATAGCATAACAAAATGGAATAACAGTTAAAAGTATATGCTGTCATATGTAAAATTTGCTTCTATAGGAAAAGAAAGTGGATGTCATCCTACATCATGTTAAAAATGTAACAAAATTAGAGAAAGTTTAACAGAACTTTATTTCAAAATTGATGATGTGACGTCATGATGTGATGACGTCATACAGGATCAAGCATGACATTACGCGGCAAAATCAGTAAAACATACTTAAATTCACTTAAAAAGTTGAAATAAAAAAAAATTATTTGTTTTACATATAAGACATGTAAGATTGAAATATATTTCACACATGAACATCAGCTGTTATATTTTCACTCGTGAATAATTGCATCTGGTGTCCATTCAGTGAAATATATTTCAATCTTATATGCAAAACAAATAAATATCCTCTATATATAGCTATTTCTTCCAGAAAGATAAACTATTTTCTTGGTAGAACCAGTGACCTTAATCATAGTTTAGCTTGATAGCATCCTTGCATAATAAACTAGCGTCTATAAGAAATGAAATCATAGCATTGAGAGTAGGAGGTTACAGTAAATGTCAGGGACCACTCGGTTACATGCAGACTACATTACATTAATCTGTAAGATAAGAAAACAATAGGATCATAATAGCCCTGAGATAATTTGTTGGAAAAAAGTCATAATAATTCTTCAATGAAGAAGTGAGTGCAGTCTACTCCACTTATAACAAGATCGGTTTTAACGAGGTACCGCTTATAACTTACATTCTACTGTGTCTCGGCCTTTTCCTTCCAGTTTCCTTTCATTTTATATTGCTTATAATGAGATCTGTTTTAGCCAGATATCGGTTACAACGTACATATATTCCCCGTCCCATGGGTATTTTAAAATTTTTTAACAAGGTCACTTCTTTGACACCTCATCTGCATCACTTTGTCACCTTGAGAAAACCAATGGTGACCAAAGAAAAGGTTAATAAAGGGAGAAATTATTGAGCAATTAGCAATCAAATGTGTCAGCCTTGTTTTGTCAGCGCTCTGGGCTAAATTGTCCTTTAGGTGACAAAATGTCATAACAAAACAATTTTATTGAGTGATTAGCACAAAGGAAGCGGCTCCGTTCTTGCAGTGTTATTCGGTGTTCATGAGAAATACACTGTGTGAATTTTGAAAACGAAATCCAAAATGTACATATTAATATAGCACGCGCATTTGGATGTAGTATGTGTTTTCATATGTTTTGTTTAAATTCTATGATAGCTAGATATATTAACATACATGTATATTTAAATAAAACAAAAACTTGTGAGTGAAGAGAGTTACCTGCCATTATATACTCTTCAAAAAGGATGCCCGCAAAAGCGAAAGTAGAAATAAATGTCAGATTTCTCAATTTGTTCTGTCCCGGTTATAACGAGCCCTGGTTATGACGAGGAATTGTGCGAAGTCCGGACGATCTTGTTTTATCCCGAGTTCACTGTATATTTATTGCATTATGTATGCCATTTTTAACCATTTTATGCAATGGACAACAAATATATGTAGGTTGTAACCAATATCTTGCTAAAACCGATCTTGTTATAAAAATTAATTGAAAGGAAAATAGAAAGAAAAAGGCCAGGACACAGTAGAATGTACCGGTACTTTATTAGCAGTACCTAGTTAAAAGTGATCCTGTTAAAAGTAGAGTGGACTGTACTCAATTATCTCCGCTCTTGGCAATGTAGAGAGGATTTTGTGAGACATGTTTACTTATATGATAATGTCTATGCCATGAATACCAGAGACATAGATATCTATGTCTCTGTGTATACTAAGTAAACCCCACGACAAAGCCATTTGCGATTAAAAAAGTATTTATGCCCATTTTGTATAAGTCCACTAGGTAATGTTTTATGCCAAATATCTAAGCTCTGGGCATTGTACTATCATGCAAAAAGAATTAAATGTGTTAAATGCAGTAAACCCCAGGGTGGCACTAGTTTTGATCCCAGAAGCTTGATTTACATTTGTAAAGGACCACAAGGTGATGCTACATGTCATCCCTTTGACTAACTTGTTCATTACAACTAGAACCAATCAATAATTATAAGTTTTGTAAAGGGTCAGCCAAAGATCATTTATTTGGAGTTTGGTTAAAATCTACCACATGGTTTAGTAAATGTTGTTTTAAGAATTTGTGGATAAGGACACAGGACATTTATTCATACAAAAAGACATCATGTGCTCACAAAAGCTCACCTCTGAACATTTTGTGCTCAGGTAAGCTAATACAGGACATTCACATGAGAGAGTATAACAGACCTTTTCCTACAGTGAGGGCTGGTGACCACTGTGAACGGAGTATATCTAGACATATACTGCCATGGCTGTTGATATTAGGGTGATATATCCTTGTTATAAATTGCACCTAAAATAACAAATACATAAAGTTTGGTTATACATATAAATGCAATTGATTTTAAACACAAGAAATTCAGTTATAAATTATTACTGAAATAACAAATACAAGATGTTGAGGTAAAATAACTAACACAAGGTTTGGAAAATATTGCAAGTAAAATAACAAACACAAGAAATTTAGCAATAAATTGTAACTGAAATAACCAAAACCAGACACAGGGATATATATACATGTATGTTATTGCCAGTGGTTTAGTTATAAAGTGCATCTGAAATAACAAACACAATAGATGCTTATATGACTGAATGCAAATTTGTTTAATATATGTCAAAATACAAATTCATTGTTGTAATAACAAGAACATGTTGGAGGACAGTAAGGCTCGACTATTCGAAAAAGTTGTCACAAGTGTGTTTTATTTAGAATAATAATGCTTACCTATGAATACATAGAATTGTCTGAAAAGGTACAAAGGCTTGTACTTAAGATGTTTATCAAGTAAATCACTGCTTTATTATTATGAATGCATAAAATTGTCCCAAAAAAGGCACAAACACTTCAGTAGTTATGGAGATAACAGCTTACAAGCAAAAACTTTACCATGAATTTCTAAGTTGAAAAAGGGGAGAAAAAAATCAGCCTAAATGCAAGATAGAATTATGGATCTTGGTAAGTTATGACCCTAAATGCATATTTGAAGTTTTAAATAAGTTTCTTTGACAGTTATTGAGATATGTAAAACTTGCATGTAAACATTAACCAAGATACTAAGTAGAAAAGGGGAGATAAAACAGCCTACATACATGACACAGATATGAGTGCTGTTCAGTGATCATTATTTATGACCACAAATATACATATGAAGTTTTAAGTTTGTATCTTTAATAGTTTCAGAGATATGCAAAACTTGCATGTAAAACTTAAGCAAGTAAAGGAGATTTTTTTAGTACAAAAGGGAGCATAATTCAGCCAAAATATATGGGCTTGGGATGTCACCTTCAGTTATGACCCTAAGTACATGTGTAAAGTTTTAAGTAAATATCTTTGATAGTTCTTAAGACCTTTAACCTTCAACCAAAATTTCTAAGTTTCAAAGGGGCATAATTCTGCAAATATTACAGACAGAGTTATCCAACTTTGCAAACTGATGTACATTGTTACTATAAAAAAAGTATTGTAAGTTTCAATTGAATATCTCAAGCAATAATTGAGATATTTGACTTTACAAAAAACTTTAACCAACACAGATGCGGACGCCGACGCGATTGCAATAGCTCTCCATATTCTTCGAATAGTCGAGCTAAAAAATAATCTTTCAATATGGGAAGAGACATTTTCATCAAATTTGTCTGAAACAGGTTTCATCACTGACAGATTTATCCTTCTGATTACAAAAGACAATACATTGCCATAATTCAAAGTTTTTATTCAAGTTGTCTCCTTTTATTCACCAGAGGGCTTGGTGCAAAAGGGTTGTAACTCATATTAAATAAAGAAGGAGTTACAATCCGTTCACAACAAGCTGTAATATTTATTGTTACTATTTAAATTTACTGTCTGACTGATTTGCACCTATAACTTTTAACATCAGGGCATGATTTTATCTAATGTTTGTACACGACCACTTGGTGATATGACATGCTTAATACCTAACTTGTTGGCATGGTAGTTTTCTACATGAAGACTTAATGTATTTCTGTATTTCCACTAAGCCTATATAAATTAAACTTAGTGGTGAGCCATTCTTTGCCCTGCACGATTTGCATAACTGCTATAGAAGTCTATAAAACTGTTGCATACCCAAAACATTAGCTCTAGACATAGTAGTTTCATTACATTATATCACAATATATAATTGGATAGCATTCCTTTGTTATGTTGCAGAAATATTTTAAGTAAACTTTGTCTATTGCATAGATTCAGTGGTTAACAGTAATTGATTTCAACAAATAAGCAGCTTTAAACAACATCAACACCTTACCTTTGGAGGTTTAAATGGATAGTCTGTAGGAAAGATCATTGACAAAAAGAAAACACCACCGTGATATGGGCTGCCTTCCTGTAACAAGATGATGAACATACAGAATAAACAACACTGAACAATTCTAACTGAAATCAATGTGATGTTTTGATTTTAACAATTAGCAACTGAATCTCTAGAATAAGGCTCAGTGTATGAAACAAATAAAGACCGGGTTCTACTGCTAACCTAAAAATTTGTGAATTCCTACTTCTCAAAATGTGTTTCAGTATATAAACTTGAAATGTGCTGCGTAAAGACAAAACCAACATAGTGTGTTTGCGACCAGCATGGATCCAGACAAGCCTGCTCATCCACGCAGTCTTATCAGGATCCATGCTGTTCACTTACCAACTCTATAACAAGTAGAGAAACTGATAGCGAACAGCATGGATCCTGATCAGACTGCACAGGCTGGTCTGGATCCATGCTGGTCGCAAACCCATTATGTTGGTTTTGTCGTGACGCGGCTCAAATGACATAATTATATCGACATAATAATTAGCCAATATTGAAACACATATAAATTGTTAAAATCATTTTAGCTTGACATTCATTTAGGTATGCTTGTCAATTCTGTAGGATTTCTATATTTTATATGTGCGGGACTTCATATCAGTAATCAGTAGAACTTACATTTGAAATTAAGTTTTGAACCAATAAAAACAAGATTATTTCAGATGTAAAACTTGCAATGATTTCAGTTGTATGAATAACAAAAAGAGAGGTCACAGAATTTGTATGTTGCAGGCAGTGCTGTCACTTTGAGACACACACGTTTAAATGTTATTTCACTTTATAAGGATATTTAAATTGTAAAAAATGTTCTTTACACAGCATTAATGGTAAAATAAATCAGCATCATTTGTTAAGCAATGCGGCAATGTGACTTATTGGTTAATGCTTCAGACAAGTTATCTAAGTAAGGAATGCTGACTGTGTGGGTTCAAGCCTTGTCAGGGGCAATCCAATGTTTCCATGAGCAATAATTTTTACACTCATTGCCCCTTTGAAATAGTAATTTTTCATGTATATATAATTTTATGACATTTCATTATTAATGTCATTATGTTGTGCATACTTACTGGACCTGTGAGAGAAGCTGACCATCTGAATACTGAAATTTATAAATATCAAATATTCATACACAAACTACATACAGAGTATTATATATACTGTAGATATAAATAATATTCTAGATTCTTTACTAGAAACTAAAGTGCTTAAAGTTTATAAAATCTGCTACAAGATATTTATTGTAATTTATTAATACTAATTCACAACAATTAATTTAAAAACATTTCCAACTATTATCTGATGTCTGCTGTAGAATAACATTAATTTCAAAAATCTTCACAGTGATCTAAGTATATGTTAGTGTTCATTCGTGCTGTTCTACAGAAATTAGAAACTTCGACAGGGTGATAGCGACAGGAGAATGTTTCTAATTTCTGTAGAACAGCACGGATGAATACTAACATATTTAGTGTCAAACTTTATTTGGCCTCATTATCATTCACTTTATAACGTCACTATGCGGTTTTATGAAGTACTATGAAAAATAGAAGTCGACTATGAACGGAATTCGATATAGTATCGACTTTTGTACTTCTATGAAAATTAACGCACAGAATTATTAAGAAATACAGTGTTTTCATTGGATGACAAATAAAGTTGGGCACTAAAAGGTGTTGGCTGGGTCTATGAAGTTTTAAGTTGATATTTCTAATTCATACTTCTTCAGTTTTGTTCTCAACAAAATTGAAATGTTTAAAATTACAAGGGGCAATAGCTCTAAAATTATCAGAAGGGATTTATGGTTCTTAAATGTTGCACTTCTGCTTAATTTTCCTCTATAAATCTATGAACCTTCAAGCTAATATGTATATGTTAGTGTTCATCCGTGCTGTTTTACAGAAATTAGAAACTTCGACGGGAGCGATAGCGACAGGAGAATGTTTCAAATTTCTGTAGAACAGAACGGATGAATACTAACATATTTAGTGTCAAGCTTTATTTGGCCTCATTATCATTCACTTTATTACGTCACTATGCGGTTTTATGAAGTACTATGAAAAATAGAACTCGACTATGGACAGAATTCGATATACCGTAGTATCGACTTTTGTACTTCTATGAAAATTAACACACAGAATTTTGAAGAAATACAGCGTTTTCATTGGATGACAAATAAAGCTGGGCATTAAATATATTTATAAGAGAGTCATGGTTCTTATGACCACACTATATACACTGTTGACAGACTATTTTTGAATTTTTCTCTTTCAATTTTAATTTAAAATCATAATGAATATACTTACAGTCTTCATTTTCAGGACCTGCAGAGCAGCCTGGTGGAGGGTCATCACATATGTCTCTACTTTCCTATAATATAAAAGCCTAACTATAAACAACTTCCAGTTACTTTTAAAGGCAACTGAGAAATAATTGCATGTGTATCTACAGAAGACTTAATTTAAACATTTCTTTTTAAGCTTTAAACAAGCCTTTCAACTTTGACTTATCATTTTCAAGACTGTTTCCTGGGTGATCTAACCATTGATGATTCTGTGTAATGAAACCAAATGGTTTGTTTATACAACATATTATCACCTATCAGTTGCAACTCTACCTTAAATGACCACATCCTATTAGAAAGGTAACAACAAAATTTTTTTAATGTGGTTTGAAATGGGTTCATGGAAATACCAAAAAGATACTACAAATTAACCAAAAATATATCGAAATATAGGTATATTACATAATTTCAAGGGAATAAATTAATCATTTGATAATTAACAGTTATAAGATAGTCAACAGAGGTGATATAATTATAAAGCAAAAATTTACATTGTAACTTTTATTTTGTTACATAAGAAAACATGTTTGCTGCCAGGTAGCTCAGATACTTGTCTGCAGAATGGTGTTTAGAGGGTCTAGTGTTCAAGTCCCAATCAGGCTGCATATTTTTCTCACCATGTGAGATTTGGCGCCCAAAGGGGACGTACATCATGGTATATAGCTCTGAGTCAATTCACAGTCAGGTACCCATGAGATATTTGAGGATACATTTCAGTATAGCTAGAGAGTATAGTGGAACCCCATTGTATCGTGCTATTCATTGTATCGATCTATTTACAAATTTTTAGATTTTTTGCAAAATTCGCAACCTACTGATTGTTAACATTTATAACAGTGTCACGAAAATCTTTCGCATTGTTTTTGTGCAGTAAAAATGATCAAAAACATGTTTCCAGTACCATAAGACATTGTAGATAATTAAATAGACATATAAAATAATGTGTTCTTATTAAAAGTACATTTACTGTCGGTTAAAAGTTCCTAAATTTATGCTGACATTTTAAAACAGACATCTTTGTTTCTAATTGACAGAAAAATCTAACATAAAGGTGGTTCAGGCTTCCCAAACTTTGACTAACTGAGCAATTCTCACTATGCACAGGGTTCTCGGGGACGCTTATTTCGGCGTCCCGGTACGCATGTTTATTACAGCTGGACGCATATATTTCGGATAATGCATCGATATAATAGCATGTCCTAATTCTTCAACCTGTTTGACATGTCTGTAAATATCGGTATATTCCAAAGCTAAATACTATATATATCAGTGATATGTTTGCCATGTAAATATAATGGCAAAAGGATCAAAATAAACGATACAAAATAAAGATTCAGGGAAATTTAAATTTTTTAACTGCAGTTGTGATTTATGGGTAAATAGATCGATACAACGGGGTTCCAGGCTACGTTATGTATAAAATACATATTATAAGGGAGAAAATGTGTATGTGGCTCACTGAGTTAGTCCAACTTATTGTACTACGCCACAAGATATTGTGCTATTTTTGTGTCTGGGCAATATCTCGCCTCTAAAAGCCAGATTCTGACCCATAATGAAAATATCTCACAGGGCTTCTGTTAATGGAAGTTTGGGAGTCATTTACTTACAAGTGACTTCCAAAATTTTATACTTTTCCTTCTTTAACTATATAATGTGACTTCCAATATTTAAGAGATTTTGCAGTCTCTCACAGACTTCCAAATTTTTAAACTTAATGGAAGCCCTGATCTCATCATGAAGCTTGGGCTTATCAATATATTTTGATTAGTGGCTGAGTTAGCTCAGTTTGTGGGGGTGCAGAACTGAGGGTCAGGGGGTCAAGTCCAGTCAGACTGCATTTTTTTTCATCCTATGGCACAAAGTTCATATTTTCATGTGTATTAAACAGAATTTGTATAGGTATATTTAAATATCTTTTTGGTAATTCCATACACTTCCTTCGAACCCCTGTCCACTTTAAAATAATATAAATTCTTCATGTTATGAAAGCACATGTTAATAAATAAATTTTACTTGTAACCTTTTTTTACTCAGTGATGAACAAGACACAGCTCACGATGTCAGCTGTTATTGATGTAACTGCACTTTAAACGATAAATAAAATTCATTTACTTAATTACAGCTTAAAGAAGAAAAATAATCCATATAAACTGATGAAGAACAGGAATAAAAAAAGTTGTTAATTTGCACCAGTTAAACCATCAAAATACGTGAAACGACAGACATGGACGCTTAAATAGAACCACAATTTTGTAGAAAGTATCATTCACATACCTTAAGAAGTCTTTTCTGTGCCATTTTCCTCTCAGTCTTTTAACTATTTAGAATTATAAAATGACTATTTGTTTCGTCGTTCACTTGACAGCTGTAATGTATTTATTGTGTATTGAACCGCATGACTGCTAAATTAACGGGTGTATATGCGTAGTAATAAAATAAACGAAAAATAGAAATAAGAACACACATCATTATAAAATTCACCGATTATCAATATTTTGAATGACTTAAAAAGTGTATCTTAATCCAGTACTTAGTGGGTTTGCAATAAATGTCTTTTAAATGTTATTTGGTCTGCCAGGAACTATTTTTATAATGCGCAATCACTTCCGTTTTGATATCAAGGGAAGTAACTTCACTATATTTTATTAAACCGAAAGTACACAGCCTGGCAATAAGAATGAGGTCATAAGGATACGTATGCTTTACTGCTTCCACGTCTCCGGCGATTTAATGAGTTTGATTCTATATATGTTAAAATAGGGATACCAAAACAAGTAAGTCAAATAAATAGAAATCTTAAACTAAATAGAAATTGATAAAGATATTTTGATGTGCAGTCAGCATAGTTACAATAATTTTGTAGTCACTCAAAGATAAGTACTAGTTAGATGGAAGTACTATTCTATCTATATATTGATATAGAGATCAAGTAATAAAGTAGGAATATTTATTAAGATCAGGCATAAAAATACATATAAATCAATTAGAAAGTCGTGCGAATGAAAAGGACATTAAATTAGGCAGATTTGTTTATTCACCACCTGGGACATACGATAACGTATGTCCCAGTCACCACTCAGCAATTATTATCAGACCCCTTTTCCCAAAGTATGTCAAAAATCACGCATATTTTCCCCCCAAAAAGGCTTAGGCCCCTTCCCCAAAAATGGTGATTTGGCCCTGTACTGTATGAATAAGACTGCCGTAAGTTATAATATTTTACTTATGAGCAAATAGGCTTGCCAATCTAAGACTACTGTAAAAAGCCTACATAATATACGTCTAATGAGCAAATAGGCTTGCCAATCTAATACTACTGTAAAAAGCCTGCATAATATACGTCTAATAATATTTTGGACTCACTAACGTAAAATACCCCCCCCCCCCTTATAAGTAATCAAGGAAGCACCCGTTTAAGTTTAACCTACATTTTTATATACTTATTTATAAGAGCGTCTTTTGCGTTGGTATGTTATTTATAAAGGAAAGACATTTACGGTATAAGTCAAATTAATGAGCCAAATTTTCACAAGTCAGTGATTTTTCGCTATCTTCTACAACTGAATAAATAGATGTGAATAAAGGCTGCACATTAAAGGTATTTTCCGCTAAAATGACCTATATATACATGTATTTTCCACTGAAAGGCCCGGTGCACATTTTTCTAAACAGCAGCTGCAGCTGAGTTATATAAGCTTGTTAATTGACTTAAAGTCAGAAAGCTGTCAATAATTATATATATAAATTTTAATAGCCTCCGAGCACTATGTACCATATACATGTTAAATTGCATTGAAATTGAAAATATCAAATGTGAAAGTCTAAGCCAAATTTTCAATAAGAAATGCATGAATGCATATATATTTTAATGATTACATATAATGCGATTAAACATTTGCAGTACATATCAGATTATAGATCTAACATATTCTTGGATGTTTAAAAACATTGTTTTAGAAGAGTAATTATATACACGTGTGTTGTTACATCCTTATATACAACATACATGATCTTATATAAACACTTACTTTTTATGGTCTATGCAAATCGATCAATGAAACATGTTAATTAAAGGCACATTAAGCCTCCAATATATTATCATTTTTATTTATCAAAAACTTCTCTTTTTTTTGTATTTTGTAACAGTTTCCAAAAAGTTATACTCACTGGCCATAAAGATAAACTATATTTTCTCCTTTTGCTCTTTGGCAAATGGTATAATTACATTGATTAAATATTTTGTATGGAAGTCAAAATACCACTTTGTTTACATATTGCTACTTTCATGAGGCATTACTGCACATTCATTGCTACCTTCTTGAGCTAATTAACATCTGATATGTTCTGTATCCATTATTAAAACGTTATAAAACAGATGTTTGACTTATCTAAAAATTAAAAATGATTGATTTCTGAGGCATTGTGTGCCTTTAAGTTTTGACTATTGTACAATTCGATCTGTTCATAATGTATTGATCTGTTTATAAATACGGGTATTAAACATACACTAGTTAATACTGTACATACAAGTTAATATACTATTGGAGTAACTTCCCTTTTTCATGTAAATATTTGATATTTCCAGATGATTCAGTAATGGCATTAAAGTTTCTGTCAAAGGTATGTTAGTATTTTCATTTGTTTTCATTTGAAACATAAATAATAAAGACATGTGATTAAAAAAGCTAATGTGCATGTCTTTGTTTATGAATAAGTACTGTACACAACAATTTACACATAGTTTCACTTCACGACATTTGTTGGTAGATAAACATATATAACGCTCCAGTCATTATTGTCTATAGTGCTGTATTTACCTTTTAAAAAATAATTATCATGTTCAAAAGTTTATATATAATAATACCAGTCAAAAACTACCGTTCTATGTTTGCCTGGCATAAATCTTAGTTATAAGTAGATATCAACCAAAACTCAATTTGCTTCATATAGTGCAATTTTTATTCATCTTCGGTAAATAAACCTTATATACATGTATATGTTATCGATTTTATATGATTGATAATTATTATGAAGTTACGCTGTCCTATCATGTAAAGCAGTTAAAATATAGATATAATCACGGTGACAGAGTAGGATACACGTATCCCGGTTATATAAATCTCTGATGATTATTATTTGAGCCGCGTCATGACAAAACCAACATAATGGGTTTGCGACCAGCATGGATCCAGACCAGCCTGCGCATCCGCGCAGTCTGATCAGGATCCATGCTGTTCGCTTACAGACCCTATAACAAGTAAAGAAACTGCTAGCGAACAGCATGGATCCTAATCAGACTGCGCGGATGCGCAGGCTGGTCTGGATCCATGCTGGTCGCAAACCCACTATGTTGGTTTTGTCATGACACGGCTCAATTTATGTTTTGATTTTAATAGCAACTGCAGCGTGTGTTTGAAGAATTACCCCAGCAGCCTGGCTTCTCTGCAGGTCCTTTAGAAGATGATTGTATGTATACTTTAATTCGTGAAATTCTGTTCAATAGTACTGACCAATTATATGTAGTTAACAACAGTCATATTTTGTTTTTGATGTTAGACTATTATTTCACGTTTTATTTGAAAAGTTTATACTAGGAATGAATGTTAATGACACTGAAGTGTTATTCAAATATTAATCAAATACTTTATGCCTATACACTTGCTGATATAGTTTTGTTTGTTTAGTGATCAAGCGATAAGTTTGTTTAATACATACTGAGGCATGCTCAAGTTGAATTGATTTTTATTTCATTTCAGTGTTGCACTGGACAGCTTCAATTGTTGGCCCCGTAAGATGTTTATTTTTATTTGGAGAATATCAATGTGTTATGTATGTATAGAACTATTAACACCTCAGTGATAAGTGTTTTAAAAATCACGATAATCGTTATCACAAATGTGTCCTATATTCGTATATATAATACTTTAAACATTGTTTTTTGATATACATGTAATGCTTTCTTTCTCTGACACATAAAATGTTTACCTGCTATTTCCAACTGCAACGGAATGGAAATAATTGTTCCAAATATGAACAATGAGAATTGCAGTGAGGTGATGGCTTGGTGGTTAAGGTGTCTGCATCTAAGGTCATAGATCGTGGGTTCGGGCCCAACTGACATCACGGCCACGTTTCTTTATTTGACACTAGGACTGGTTGATTACAGGAACTGAATCCTTTAGTTGGTGAAATAGTTCACAAGCTTTTATAACAATCAACATATTAAATTAAGCATTTTAAACCTAACTGAAGTGAAAGAATATACAATTAAACATTATTATTGTTATTCAGATGATACAATGAATGTTATATTTGAGAAGATGAACAATTAAATTTTCACTGTATTTGCATGTAATTTCTGAATTAGAAACAACTTCACATTGCAGGCAGATACACCATATGAAGGTGGGCAGTTTGACTTACGAATGGATTTTCCAACAGATTATCCACTAAAACCACCAAAGGTAAATAGCGGGGAAGTAATTTTTTAAGATTGTTAATGAGATTGATATACATTTACTTCCCTTTATTTACAAAACTTACTTTAATGGCTTTATGCTTTGGTGTTTTTTTAAGTCACCCCGACAGTGTCATGCTGATATGGCGACGTTTCAGCTTTACTGGTAGATGAAGGCCTCTGTGCATTATTCCATGCACGAGCAGGTACCGGGATCGAAAGTGAGCTTGCTTTAAGCTTCCTCACTTGAAAGAATTTAAAGCTTCTGATTGGTTCAAACGCACAGGGTGAGGTAAAAGTGGCTTCAAGTTAACGACCTTTACCACTCGGCCACGAATGCTCCCTCGATCGGGTAATAAAACGTGACAGTGCTCATGGTTCGAACTTGCGCACTGATGATTCTATTGTTAATATACCCTGGCACCGCCGGTTACGTCATGCTGTGCTATTTTACATTACTCTACTAAAGACATTTTGTATTGATGGGGTAAAGTAAATGATGTGGCAGTTTGAAAATATTTTGGTTACAATCACCTTGCAGATATCATAAGATACATACTATTTAGGACAAGGAACTTTAAAACTAGTAACAGCAGGCAGCAAAAGTCGCATGCGCGCGTATATCGATGTGGTTATTAGTTTTTTAATATATAACTCTGGTTAATAAAAATTTTGCCATTTTAAGTGATAAAATTTAGACAAAGAAAGCGTTCTCAATTGTAGAAGTATATCTTAATTGTATATTCATAGTATGTAGGTGTTGTACTATAGCAGAGATATGGGCATTAGTTAGTTGTTTTCGTTTTCTTAATCGTGAACACCTTTATTAAACTACCTACTATTTTATTTTCAGATTTGGTTTTTAACAAAAGTTTATCATCCAAATGTTGATGCTAAAGGAAAGATATGTATAGATTTTTTACTAGATGAATGGAAACCGTCCTTCTCAATTTCATATAGTAAGATGTAATTAAATGTATACACCAATACCTGCAAATAACTTGAAATCTATAATCTATGCACAATTTAATGTTTTCATTTGCTTTTAGAATCTGTTATTTTGCTTTACTATTGTTCACACTGTATTTTGAATAGCATGCTGATGTATTGAACAAGATTAGATAATGTATGCGAGTATATGTAAGTTTTAATTTTCAGTACACCAAGTGTACATCTTTCTTTGAAGAATAAATGAAGCTATATGACATGGAAGTGTACATAATTTTTTAATGAAATAAGTTAAACTAAACAACATTTATATTCCTTTTCAATGTTTAATATCTGAAACTTCCTCTAATCAAATTCCAATCATACCTTACAAAAACGTAGTTACAACAAATATTTTGTTATGACTGACATTATGACACCACTTTAGATAGTAAATTTCAACGGTACTTTATTTTTTTCAGTTTTGCTGGCTATATGCTCACTATTGATGCATCCTAATGCAGAAAATCCCATTGTACAGGAAATCGCCGACTTGTATTTAAAAGACAGAGATAAATTTAATGAGAATGCGAGGGAAATGACTCTAAAACACGCGAAACCGGATATTTGACCACATTGTGATATTGTCACCAGTAATGACCTCGTATCTTCTTGATTTCAATGTTAGTGATATATATCCGACAACAACCATTTAAACCTCTCTATTGTTTAGTTTATTATATATTGTAATTTTATTTAACTTAAATGATGTTATATATAAAAAATGCACAAGGTATAAGTACATTTTGCCAAAGTCTGCTTTCTTGTTAAGTTGGTATGGTTTACGTTATCTAAAATATATAAGGTTATGAATAGACGTTCCAGGAAACAACAGCTATATCTTCATGTAAAGAAGAAGACAAAAAAATGTGAGCCTTTAAAAACCCTAAATTAGTTGTCTTGATACTGAAACAAGGAACTTCTTTTTGATTTGTGTAATGCGAATTTTATACTGAATGTAATTATAAAGAGAATTTACGACATTGTAATTACATTCCACAATGATGCATGTACATGTTGTTTTTCTTTCATTTCACTTACTATTTGTCTATGTAAATTATATATTGTAACCAAATTTGACCATATTGTTGAATATTTGGATTTAGGTTGTGAACATTTCGAAACATTTAGCCCACTTATGCACAAAGTGGTTAGAGGTGAGATTGTGTGATGTCCTGTTATCCGCCGTATGTCGTCCATCACCCGCCGTTCTTTATAATTTTATGAAGAACACCGTCCAAAAACATTCCTGTATTTGTACTTCACTTGAAAATGACCCACCTTGTCATAAGAGTGGTATTTTTAGAGTTATGATAGGTACTTTTACCGGAGACATGAACGTCGGCGTCACTATTTAAATTTGGTTATTTACATACTCACTTTTATGGCACTTTTATAGGGAAATAATACTTAAGTAGTATCATTTTTGAAACTAAAAGACCTATTATTCAGACTTTGATACATAAGTTACTTTTCTTGAATACCGTTTTCTCACGAGAGTGGTTGTTTTCGTGAGTTTGCACATTAAGTTGTAACAATACACATAAATAGAATAAATCTCTGACTGTTTTAAGATGCTATTTTGAGTGATAAAAACTCCTGCATTCTGTAAGTTACACATGTGATCTGCGTATATGTTTTACATTTTATAAAACATAACAATTTTATCGCACGTATATTGTGTATTATTAAGAAAACTTCACGTCTTTGAATTGTGTTTTCTTTTCTTTTATAAAAGTAATTGTGTGCGTGAGTAAACTTGTGAAATAGTTATGTTTTTTACATCATTTCATTGACGACATATATGTTATTACTTTTTCATTTAATGAACTGCTATAAAATAAGTGAAATATGAAAGCAATTGCCTAGACTGTGGCAATATAAACTAATGTAACAAGGTTTAATTTTTGGGGGTCAAAATTCGAATATCTTGATCTATAGTAAAAAGAATTTTAGTGTAATATTTAGTTATTTACACACTCACTTTTATGGCATGCTAAATTGCATTTTGCATGATAAATAACAAACTTGTATTTGGTTAGCCTGATTAAATCTGCTTTCCACTCACTGATACACTAAATTACTTAACATGAAACCGCGTTATGTTTTATATCAAATATTTGTTTTGTAAATTATTTCTAAGTTGGGTCTTCTTATAATATTTCTATAGTTGCATTCGTATTATTTTAATTGTATTATCAAATATTATTAAATATATGAGAGATTGTAAACATAACTAACTGCGAACTTTGTTCTCTGTTTTTAAGAAGGAATTGTGAAACAGTTTTTCTGTTTGCACTTAAATTTTCTTAATATTTTCTAAAGCATTTATTTTGCAAACTTTATTTACATTTAGTGAAAATAAACATTTAAAGTAACAATGCATATTTGATTTCTAGCTAGAATATTTTGCGGGGAAACAATACTTCATGTTTTAAGGTCCGTTATGTCACAGAAATGGTTTTATCGTTATTACAATTGTCCACTTTAACTGTATCTAAAAGGTACTCATGCATTGACCAATTACCTAAACCGTCGTTTGTTGCTTTTGCCTTTAAGCTCAGCAGAACCGAAAGGTCAGGGTGTGCTATTGGTATCAAAGGGGGATGCTCTGGCGTCCGTCGTCCATCTTCATGCGTCAATATTCATCTTCTATGAACCTGCCGGGAAAATGTACTTCAAATTTGGTCTGTAGCATCCTTATGACAGTCACGGTTAAATTTGCTCATATCATTTCAATTGACCCCTTTTAGGGGTCAACAGAGTTAAAAAAGACATGAGAACATTTATTTCTACTGAAGTAATTGATAGGTGATCACCAAACTTTGTAACAATCTTAGATATGTTATCAAATTTGTTCACATTAAAGTGATTGACACTTCTAGGGGCAGCTTAAGCTAAAAATAGACTTTATCTTTAAACGTTTTCTTTTACTGACTTAAATGATGGATATATGATCACCAAACTTTGCCTGTAGCATTCTTAGAAGGTTTATATTAAGTTTGCTCAAATTAATTTGATTGGCTTCATTAACGGACCGCTAGAGCTGAAAGTTACAAAAGCTGGAAACATGTTTCTTCTACGGAACTGATACAGGTTATCACCAAAGTTTGTTTGTAGCTTTCTTAGATGTTTTTGTGTTTCAAGTTTGCTCAAATTAATGTGCTTGTCCATTTTTATGGGCATCGATAGCTAAAAATAGAAGAAAAAAAAACCCATTTAAATAGCTGTTTTAAATAAATTATTTGAAATACACTTCTTTCTTTTACTTACTATGTTTTACTTTTTAAGTTACATGCTTCAAATACTTAACGTGAAACACAACTGCCACTTCATGTATATTTCTTTTCAATACAAGCCGACAAAATATTATAGAGGCTACGGTGGACACCATGTTAAAATCGTTTACTTCCCCCTCACCCCTGTAGGTTTGTATACGTCTATTGTCTGTTTTAGATTCTAGCCACCTAACAAGCATACTGAATGTAAGTGATCCTACTATTTTGCCCACTCTATTTTAACATATTATTATGCCTCAAAATAGATAAGGTGAGGGTGACTCTACCCTACCTAGAAGAATCTTTTGTGATGATTTTCTTGATAAATGTTGGCGGGGTCATTGAATAGCAGCCATATCATATTTTTCCGTACGATTCGTTAGCATTTTATAGTCCTTATCACATTTTCATCTCGAACAAGAAAAGACAAACTTAATAAATCTTAATGAAGAAAATGGCATTAAAACACTTAAAATGGTGTATGAATAATTAAAAAAAAAATAGGTTAAGAAAAAAGTAAATAAATAAAATAAAGCCTACATACTCTACCTATTTTAAATGGACATGTTACCCTAACCACAATATATGTTTTAGCCTTAATGAAGCATGACAGTAATGAAACCATTAAATTGTCTGAAATCTACAGCCTTTTCCAACCAACCACAAAATTCTCTGTTGAAATGCCTGGAGCAAACATCATATATAACCATTTGTTTTCTTTTCATGGATGTTTCCCACCAAAAACTTCCTTAAAATAGGGTTATTGGTTACCTCGTACAGTACGCAAATACATTTTACAAATAAAATTGTGAAGGAATGTTCTTTACAAAAAAAATTGCTCGGCACAGTTGAAAATTGACTGGACATGTTAGTCACGATATTTGCTGTACCGGCAAGCAAGTTAATTTTTCACTAAAAGAATCCATTCCTTTTTTCCCTCTTTTTGGTGTGTTTGCTTTTTGAGTTGTTTAATAGCCAAACTGTTATCCTGATTAAAATTGTTTAACGAAAAAGGAATTAAAAAGGCTCCAAAGGAAATAAGAAAGCGCGAGTTGACATGTTTTACATCCCAGATGTACAGTAATAATGAACTTGGGCTCTTAATGAAAGGTTCCCTTTTTTCTTATGAAGGAAAAAAGTGTCGGGACCTATATAACTAGAGAGGCAGGTTGAAGTTTAGCTGGACTTGCCTTTCAGCATTTTCATTTGGAAAAAAAATTCTATCACTTAAAAGCAGTTGTTTCTGGTGAGCGATTTAGGGTCATCATGGCCCATTTGTCTGAAATTAGTACAGTGCAGTAAAAGAGATTTAGTATATTGTATAGAAGTCAAAATACTATTTTGTTTTGACATTTTGCTACTTTCATGACACATAATTCCATATTCATCAGTTATTTCTTTACGTCATGAACATCTAACATGATTTAAAACAATGTTCTCAACGTCACAAAACTCATGTTTGCCATTTCTTAATAAGGATATGAGGCATAATGTGCCTTTATTTAAGAGAAGGAAAATTGTCGAGTTTTGTTGTGAATTTTCCATTTATACCGTTGTTTAGATATTCCTCACGTCATATAATTTAATTACCACAGTCTTAATCACTCTCTGGAAAATACAACGGACCTATTGATTCCTTCTTTAAAAATGCTTGATGAAATAGTCTATCACAAGACAATGTCCAGGTCACATGTCTTAGCCGTTCCGAATAAATATAGGCGAGGTGAACATAATTACAAGTATACTTTGTAACACTTACAGGTAAATAATGTTTATTATCCGTTTATGATATTTGTAAAAGTGACCTGGTTACATGTACATTTACAACTGTTTCTTGATAAATGTAATTTTATTGACAACAGATGTGATAGTGATATGAATTTACATAATTTAATGAATATTTCTCTTCTTAGCTCCTTCCATAATTAGCCTAGTTAAATTGATATGTTGAAAGCTAGTATAAGAATCCTTTTGCAACAGTATGTACATGTATAATAAAACTGATAAAATTATACGATTAATAGCTTTTTCTGAAAAAAAAACGTGTATTTATTGTTATACACAGAATGACTATAATTTTATGATTTGAGAAAATGTAAAACTAAAAAAAAACACCTCTAGAACAAATCCTGCTAGTTTGATAGTATCAACAGACGCAATAACAGTATATAAATAACACATGTTTTTGTGGGTAACAGTAAAAATATCATCCCGAGGAAAATACTGTTACCCTAAGCATAGGCGAGGGTAACAGTATTTTACGAGGGATGATATTTTTACTGTTACTCACAAACCCATGTGTTATTTATTTTATTACCCCGAACAAATACTGTGATTACTAGTACATGAAATTGTCAACTAAATCTGTTACAAAAAAATAAACCAAGAGAAACAATAACTTAACTGTCCTTACCTTTTAAGTTTTAAGTGTACTGTACAGTTGTCATTAGCTCACCAGAGCCGAAGGCTCAGGGTGAGCTATTAGTATCAAAGGGGGATACTCCGGCGTCCGTCGTCATGCGTCAACAATCGTCTTCTTCTCTGAAACCACTGGGCAGATTTACTTCAAATTTGGTCTGTAGCATCCTTGTGACAGTCACACTTGAATTTGCTCATGTCATTTCAATTGGCCCTTTTTAGGGGTCAGAGCTAAAAATAGAAAAACCTTTAAACATCTTCTACTACAGAACTAATGAATGGATAATCACCAAACTTTGTCTGTAGCATTCTTGGGTAGTGTTTTATCAAATTTGCTAATATTAATTTGATTGGCACCTTTTAGGGGTCTCTAGGGCTAAAAATAAAAAAGACTTTTAGACATCTTCTTCTACAGAACTAATGGATGGATGATCACCAAACTTTGTCTGTAGCATTCTTGGGTAGTCTTTTATCAAGTTTAATCATATTAATTTGATTGGCCCCTTTAAGGGACCGCTAAAGCTAAAAATAGAAATTTTTTTAAACATCTATATCTAGAGAACTAATTGATGGATGGTCAACAAACTTTGTCTGTAGCATTCTTGGATAGTCTTTTATCAAATTTGCTCATTTTAATTTGATTGACCCCTTTTAGGGGTCTCTAGGACTAAAAATAGAAAAACCTTAAAATGTCTTCTTCCTCTACAGAACTAATTGATGGATGATCACCAAACTTTGTCTGTAGCATTCTTGGGTAGTCTTTTATCAAGTTTGCTCATATTAATTTGATTGGCCCCTTTTAGGGGCCGCTTAACCTAAAAATAGAAATACCTTTTAACATCTATATCTAGAGAACTAATTGATGGATGATTAACAAACTTTGTTTGTTGCATTATTGTGTAGTCTTTTATTATCAAATTTGCTCATATTAATTTGATTGGCCCCTTTTAGGGGTCTGTAGGGCTAAACTAAAAAAAACCTTTAAATGTCTTCTTCTACAGAACTAATTGATGGATGATCACCAAACTTTGTCTGTAGCATTCTTGGGTAGTCTGATATCAAGTTTGCTCATATTAATGTGATTGGCCCCTTTTAGGCGCAGCAAAAAAAGAAATACCGTTAACGTCTATTTCTATAGAACTAATTGATGGATGATCACCCAACTTTGTCTGTAGCATTCTTGGGTAGTCTTTTATCAAGATTGATCATAGTAATTTGATTGGCCCCTTTTAGGGGTCTCTAGAGCTAAAAATAGAAAAACCTTTAAACATATTCTTCTATAGAACTAATTGATGAATGACCACAACATTTTGTCTGTAGCATTGTTGGGTAGTCTGTTATCAATTTTGATCATATTAATTTGATTGGCCCCTTTTAGGGGTCTCTAGGGCTAAAAATAGAAACACTTTTAGACATCTTCTTCTACAGAACTCATGGATGGATGATCACCAGACTTTGTCTGTACCATTCTTAGGTAGTCTTTTATCAAGTTTGCATTGGCCCCTTTAACGGACCGCTAAAGCTAAAAATAGAAAAACCTTTAAACATCTATATCTAGAGAACTAATTGATGGATGATCACCAAACTTTGTCTGTTGCATTCTTGGGTAGTCTTTTATCAAATTTGCTCATTTTAATTTGATTGGCCCCTTTAAGGGGTATCTAGGACTAAAAATAGAAAAACCTTAAAATGTCTTCTTCTACAGAACTAATGGATGGATGATTACCAAACTTTGTCTGTACCATTTTTGGGTAGTCTTTTATCAAGTTTGCTCATATTAATTTGTTTGGCCCCTTTTAGGGGCCACTTAACATAAAAATAGAAATACCTTTTAACATCTATATCTAGAGAACTAATTGATGGATGATCACCAAACTTTGTTTGTAGCATTATTGTGTAGTCTTTTATTATCAAATTTGCTCATATTAATTTGATTGGCCCCTTTTAGGGTTAGGGTACAAAAAATTTGAATATTTGATAAAAAGGCAAACCAAATGTGACTTCATTACTTGAAATTGAGACATTTTCTAGCAATGTACATGTACCTCAGATAAGCGATCAAGGGCCATCATGGACCTCTTTTTGCTTTAAATTATATTGAAGATTGCAGACACATTTCTCATAAATACTCTGTACGGTTTTTTTATATCGAAATAAGTATGACAGAATAAATTTATGATTGTGGCAATTAAAATGTTTTGTACATTCAATATTTAAACATAAAATGTGTAAGTCTAGAGGAGACTTGTGTGTCTAAACTGTTACTGCAACATCCATCTTCATATTAAGTAATAGAAAGAGCACCGAAACACGAGGCTATCTGATTTGTACGAGGGGGCGTAGCCCCCGAGTATTAATCAGATTGCCGAGTGTTTTGGTGTTCTTTCTCTTTTGTATCATAGTCAAAAATAAAAGCACGTTCCCTGTTGTCACAATATGAAACCCCGGCAAAAATGAACCAATGAACGAACATCTGAATATGACAT